GAGGCCGAGTCGGCGACGGCGCGTGACGTGGACCCAAGCACGATGGTGGCGCTCGTGCAGATCGGCAAGGCGTTCTTCCAGCTCGACGGGTCGCTTCTCTCGAGCTTTGAGCGCTTTGACACCAACCACGACGGCGTCCTGCAAGCACACGAGCTCCACCAAGCGCTGCAGCAGCTCGGCCTCGACTTTGCCGACGAGCTCTTCCACAAGGTGTGGCGCGCGATCGATCTCGATGGTGGCAACACGGTCGACTACAAGGAGTTCCTCGCAGCCTTTAGCGTGCAGGACAAGCGCATGTCCGCGTCGGCGCTCACGTGGCAGCAGACGATTCTGCAGCAAGTGTCGAACGTCCTGTACCAGCACCGGATCCACATGCGGTCGGCGTTCCGTCTCTTTGACCAAGACAAGAGCGGAAGCATCTCGCGCGACGAGTTCCGCGCTGGCATCTCGACGTTCAATGCCATTTTGGACAAACCGCTGAGCGACGACCAAGTCGACGCGCTCCTCACGCACCTTGACGCGGACGGCGACGGCAACATTAGCTACAACGAGTTCCTCGAAGGCTTCCAAGTCGTAAGCATGGAATAGGAGAGTGGATTAGGTATCTTGGCGACCTACTTGTCTTCGGGCGTCCACGCGTCCTGACTGCGTTTGGCGTCGTCTTGGTCCTTGTCCTCCGTGCCGTCATCTACGTCCTTGTCGTCGTGTTTGTCGTCGTCGCCAGTGTCCTTGTCGTCGCCAACACCGTCGTCGTCTTCGTCGCTACGGACATCGGCGTCACTGCCGATGCCGTCACCGTCAACCTCGTCTTGACGCGACTCGTTTGGCTCGTCGGACGCCGGCTCATGCTTTTCATCTTGGCGCAGCAACATGTCGTCGGCCGCTTTCGCTTCGCTCTCGTCCAGTGGCATGTCGAGCGAGAGGCGCCGAAGATCGCTGCCTGCCGTCGCAACGTCATCCATCGTCTTGGCCTCTGCAATGGATTCGTCTGCTCCACCAATCTTGTTGATGTCAGTCTCTTCTGCTGCACCAGCCTTGGCGTCAAGCTCTGGCTCCTCGGAGAAACCTTGGTTCCGGTCATCCGGTGGCGGCGTCTCGATCTTCTCGACACCGACCGGATTCGACGTCGCGGGCTCGTCCTCGCTGCGGCGCGGTGTGAGCAGTGGCGTCAGGTCGCTGCTGGCCGGCAACGGCATGCGCACCACCGGCTCGGGTAGGACAAAGTCGTCTGCGAGCGCACGGGCATCAAAGCGGCACAGGTCGACGCCAGGGCCCTTCGGCGCCAACACATCGCTGGTCCCCGACGCGTCAAGAGGGCGCACTCCGTAGGCCGCCGTCGTTTGCTTGGGCACATGGCGGCGTCCGCGACTCTTGGGCTCGGCGGGGCGGGAGCTTGCCTTGGCGCGGGCCTCGCGAAAGACGTCGTGCGTCTTCTTGCGGGCGACGAGCGACTCGGCCGCGCGCTGCGCCTCCTCGAGCGCGGTCGTCAGCGGGTCGTCGATGCCGAGGCGGTCGCAAGCGGTTTGCACGGCCCGCTTGTACGACTGCAGCACCTGCACGTGGGGCTTCTTGAGAAACTCGAGCTCGACCGCCATGTTGTGGTAGGCGACCGCGACCGCGCTCCAGTGCGCATGCGCATGGGCGTCCGGCGCATTCCCAGCCTCTTGGAGTAGGATGAGCGCGCGCTGTGCGGCGAGGAGCGCCTTGTCGTGGCGGCCGAGCTGCGACAAGATCGCACACGCGTTGAGCCGCGTCTCGGCGGCGCGCAGGCCCTAGCAGAAGAGATATGGTGTTGTTGAAGAGAGACATGACAGCCATCTACCGACGACCCGTCGAGCGCCATGGCGCGCTGGAGGTAGCTGTACGCGACGCGCAGCTTGTGGACGCGGCGGTAGTAGGCGGCGAGCTGGTTGAAGATCGCAATGTATTCGTCGGCCGTTGTGGCCAACGCGTCGGCTTTGAGCAAGAAGCAGCGCGCGTCGTCGAGGCGGCCGGCGCAGAGCTGGCGCCGGCCAACGTCGGTGGCCACGGCGCACATGCGCTTGGCCAGCGCCCACACCTCGGGACTAGCGTTGGGTGGTGGCGTTGGCCTCGTGGTCAATGGAGTCGTACCTCTCGTAGCCGAGGTAGTGCTGGCGCAGGAAGAGCGACCGCTCCCAGCACAGCATCGCCTGCGCGAGGTCGCCGGCGGCGAGGCAGCTCTCGGCGGTCGCGTCGAGCGCGCGGACGTCGGGGAGGTCGTAGTCGTCGGCGACCATTCAAGATCCAACTCGAGGGCGGGGGTTCGAACCTCGCGTGCGACGCTTTGGTGAAAGTGAGAAGACGGGATGACTAGTACATGTATGAACTCTTTCCTAATTAGTGGGCGACGACGAGCGTCTTAATGTGGGTCGTGTTCTCCGATCGGACGCGTTAATACTGATACTGGCCCGGCGCCCCGTACGGCTGCGGCGGCACCATGCCGCCATACTGCGGCTGCGGCATCCCGTACGCCGGCTGCTGCATGCCATAGCCGGGCTGTTGCATGCCGTAGCCCGGCTGCTGCATGCCGTACGCGCTCGGGTCGTTGTAGGCCGCGTTGGCGAGCGCCATGACGGGCGCGCCCATGCCGCCCATGGCAAACTGCGGGTCAACGACGCCCGGCAGCGTCTCGGCGGGCATCGCGTCTTCCTTGGGCGCCGTGCGCTCGTCGAGCACCTTGATCTTTTCGTGGAGGTTCTTGACGTACTGGATCATGTACGGCATGACAAAGTCCACGTAGCCGTTGCGCCACGCGAGCTCCATGGCCACGTCGGGCTTGATGAGCTTGTAGCACGTAAAGAGCGTCGCGCAAAAGCACTCCTTGTCGTGCGCGTCCACAAAGAAGCGGAGGAGCTCTTCCGCGAGCTCGGCGTCGGCCGAGTCGTTGGCCGTGTCGATCGCATCCTTGTACATCTTGTCGGCCTTGGACAGCTTGAGCGACTGCGCGTAGCGCTTGTTCTTCTTGTAGAGGTACGCAGCGATACGGCGGAACTCGAGGAGCTCGTGCTTCTCGACCTTTTGCGCGAGCGCAATCTGGTCGAAGTTGTCGTACGAGTCGATCGAGTCGCGGAGGCCCTGGTAGTCCTCGTCGTCCGTGAGGATTTCGTTGAGCGCTTCGTTAACCGCCGACAAGTTTTCCTTCTGCACGTCCTTGAGGTACTCGATCACGAGCGGGAGGTTGTCCGACTTGCGCAGCTGGTGCACCACGCGCGCGTGGTCGAGGTTGGGCGTGAGCACTTGGAGGAGGCGCGTGAGCTCGAGCGGGTGTTGCTCGAGGTAAAACTGGATCGCCTTGTAGTGGATTTCCTGGTTGCGCACCTTCTGGATGCAGTCGAGGAAGAGGTCGTGCGCGAACGCGACCGGGTGGTCGACCATCGTGCGCACCGCATTGTCAAACTGGCCGTCCTCCTTGTAGAGGTACACGGCGTGGTCCCAGTGCAGACCCTTCTCGCACGCCCGCAGAATCTTGGACACGTTCATGCGGCTGTGGAAGATCTTGATGTGCTCCATGAGCTTGGCCGGGTTGTACTTGGAGTACAGGATCGCGAGCTCGGTAAAGATACCCGCGTGGGCGCCCTCGAGGCCCAGACCTTGCTCCATGAGCTTGAGAAGCTCGGCCCAGTGGCCGCGGCGCTCATAGTTGAGGATGAGCTCTTCCAAGTGGTCCGGGTGCACAATGATGTGCAGACCGCAGAGGCCGGCGAGGCGGAACTCGTTCACGTCCACGCACGCATAGTTGACTTCCTTCCACGTGCCGACCGAGTTGGCCTTGGTCGCCGCGTCGACGGCTTCGCGGAACTTGCCGAGACGCACGTAGCAGATCGCGAGTTTGGCGTTGTTGTTGATGTTCTGGAAGAGAAGCTTCGCCGCGTTGAACATGCCTTCCGCAAAGAGGCGCTCGCCCGTGTTCTGGATCTGCGCCACGTTGGGCGCCGAGATGAATTCCTCGAGCTCCGCGTACTTTTCCGTCTTGGCCAGCGCGTAGATGAGCGACGTGTCGAGGTGCTGCTCCTTGACCGTCTTGCGCGCCATGCGAAGGTAGTCGATTAGGTCGGCCCAGTTGCCGTCGCGCTCGGCCGTCGCAATCACATCGGCGTACGCCGATGGGTCACCCGCCTTGATGAACGACGCGAGCGCATCGTGCAAGTTGTTGTTGTCGAGCTGCGACTTGGCGAGCTTCGACCACACGTCCGGCTCGTTGCAGCGGTCAGCAAACTCGTAGGCGCGCGTCATGTCGCGGATGTAGTCGAGGAGCACGCCGATCGCTTCGCCGTTGAACTTGGTCTTCTTGTAGATGACAAACGCCTCTTCGTAGAGCTGGTACTGCTCGCCGACCGCAATGCGCGCAATCTCGGGCCCGTCAAAGTTGTCGAGGCGGTTGACGTAGTCCATGACCTTTTCCTTGCACGCCTTGATGGCCGTGAGGATGAGCAAGTTCTGGAGGTTCTTGTTCGTCGAAAAGTCCGTGCCCTGGAGCACGATGCGCTCGAGGAGCTCAATGAGCTCGTTCGGGAGCTCGGCGTTCATAAATGCGCGGACCGTCGTCGACACTTCGTCCGGGTTGCGGGCCTCCGGGAGCGCCGTTTGCACGACTTGGTCAATGAGCGCACGGCGGTTCGGCGCCTCGGCTTCGCCCTCGACCGCCTTCACGAGCACCTTGCCCCAAAGATCAAGGTCCTGGCGGTGCACGAGGTAGCGCGCGAGGTCCTTGAAAAGCGAGTTCTCGGTCGTGACGCGGATGAGGTCGTCGTCGCACGCACCGCCGGCACGCTGGTACGCCAAGAAGGCGAGCGCCGGGTCGAGCTTTTCGCAAAACTTGCCGACGACCGCCGGCTCGTAGTACGGGTTGTTGACGAGGAACTGCTGCGGGTCGCGGTTGAGCGTCACGTAGATCTTGCCCATCGCGTTGTGCGTCGCCGGCTCCGTGTTGCCCTGCGTCACACGCGCCTCGAGCCACGGCTGGAGGAGGCGGAGACGGTTGCGCTTCTCGACCTCTTCGACGAGCTGGTCCACGGGCGTCTGCGGGATCTGGCCCAAGAGCGTCTTGATGTAGTCTTCGTTGCAGTCCAAGTCGAGGAGCTTGCCAACGACGAGCGGCGTCTTCTGCGGCGAGACCTTGGTCGCGTACACCTCAATGTACTTGAGGAGGTTGTTCGAGTAGAGGTACTGCGTGAGCTCCTCGACAAAGTCGTAGCGGTCGCACACGTGGATGAGTGGGCGCGGGTCCTGGAGCTTCGACTCCTTGAGAAAGTCCTTGACCTTGACGGGATCGTAGACCGCCGAGTCGCGGCAGACGCGCTCGACCTCCTTGAACTGGCCCATCTTGGTCGCGGCCTCAATGTACTTGAAGTGCACTTCGGGCTCTTGCGAAAAGTTGACCACCGACCCGAGAAAGTAGTACAGGCCGTCAAACGACTTGTACTTCTCAAACATCTCGATGATCTGCTTGGCGCCGAGCTGCTCGACGTACTTGGTCGCGACCTGCACCACAATCTGGATGTTCTGGCGCAAGTTGTGGCCCAGGAGCGCGTTGATGAGCTCCATCGACACCTCGGCGTTCACCGTCCCGAAAAACGTCACGATGAACTCGTGGTTGATCGCGTGCGTGTTGACAACGACGCGCTTGAGGTCCGCGAGCTCCGTGTAGTGCTCGAGCGCGCGCTGGAAGAGGCCGGCCTTCTCGCAGAGCTGCGCGACGCGCGGACGGTCATAGTGCGAAAACATGTTGTTCGAGAGGATCGCGTCCGCGACCTGCGGCGACCCGCCGAGAAGGTTGATCTCGAGGAGGCGCGTCTGCAGCGGGCCTTCTTCCGGGCGGTTGTTCTTGAGCGCTTCGAGCAGGAACGCGGTCGTCTCCTGGACGCGGCTCACTTGCATGAAAATGTCGACGACCGACGCAATGTCGACGAGCGGGCCGTTCTCGGCCGTCGCGAGCTTCTGCGCAAAGTCGAGCGCGCCCTGCGGGTTCGCGCGCACGAGGTTCTGGAGCATAAACGTGTAGTCGCAGCGGTAGTTGGTCTTGGACGCATACGCGACAATCTTGTCAAACTCGCCGCGCTGGACAAAGCAGTTGATGACCTTCTCCGGCACGTTCGCACGCAAATAGACCGAGAGCGCCATCGTCGTGTCCGACTGCGCGCACATATCACCGAGCTCTTCCGAGCACTCGAGCTTGTCCTCGGAAAGCCACTTTTGCAGCAGCTGGCCGCGGCCCTGCATGAGCACGGGGCGCGCGAGCTCGATCGACTCGTACTTGTTGAGCGTGCCCATCTCCAAGCAGACGCTGAAGAATTGGAGAAGCGGCAACGGCTGGCCAGGCTGCGCGGGCATCTGCTGGAAGCGCTGAATCACCTGCGGCGTGCGCAAGACACCCTGCGGCGAGACGGCAGCGAGGCGCGCAGCGCCCTGCACGTCGTTCATTCCCACGAGGCGGTTAAACTCGGTAAAGTAGAGCTCCTCGGCGCCAGGCAGGTTGAGGCGCGTCGCGAGCTGGAGCGCAAGCTGCGAGTCGCGGAGCGTGCCCACAATGTACGGGACGAGCTTCTGCTGGTTGATCGAAAACTGGAGCAGCTGGCCGCGACGCGTGATACCGAGCATACCCTTGGACGCTGTATGCAGGGCCGTGACAAAGACCGTGTCCTGGGCGACGCGCGCGCGGTACACGGGCTTGCCAGTGTGAATGTCAAAGAGGAACAGGTAGCCCATCTTCGTGATCATGTAAATGATGTCATCGCCAGGCGCCGCCTAGAAACACATGAGATACATACACGTCATCGTGACGACCAGACGGTACCATCATCGAGACAGGGAAATCGTTGACCGCATCCGCGGCAAACGGGATCGGCTGGGGCGGCAGCCGGAACGTCTGGCCCGCAGCGTTCGTGCCGACTTCCATGATAAAGAGCTGCAACGGCGCGTCACCCTTGGTACCGGCAAAGCACAGCACTTGGGCTTCGTCGGTGCGGCCCGGGGGCTTCATGTTGGTAAAAGTACCGGCGTGGCCCTGGAGCACCTGGCTGACCTTCTTGTCCTTCGAGTAGAGCTGCATGTTGCCTTCAATGCGACCACCCTCGCCCGCCGAGATACCGACGAGCAAGAGCCACTGGTTGTCGGGCGACGTCTCGTAGCTAATGATCTGCGTGTTCGGGCCAAGGTTGGCGTGGCGGTCAAACTGCTTGGCGGGCGCCGAGTCGCCTTCAATGCTCCAGTGGTACACAGCCGTGGCCGTGACCATGCCAATCGTGTTGGGCGTGATCCACCGCCAAAACACAATCGCGTCCGTCATCTGATGCGACTTCATCTTGGCGCGGAGCTCCATGTTGAAAATCTGGAGCTGCGACCCGGCGCGGAGCGCAATCACCTTGGTCAAGGGGTTCATGATCGCGGCCTCGGCCGCAATCGGGCGGCGCTGCACGTTGTTGCCCGCGGCCATGTCGACGATCACGACGTTTGCCTGGCCGTTCACGGTCTCGCACACCGTAATGAACTTGTCGCTCTCCATGGCGCACGTCCCGAATTTAACATAGTCCAGGTTGACGCCGAGCGTCCCGAGCTACATGGTGCACATAAGCCTCGTCGTCTTACCACGATGGATGCATCTTCCTACATTGAGGACTTCGCCAAAGGTAATCGGCAAGTCGGCCATCCTGCGCTCTTCGTCCTTCGCACGTCGGTAGCCTTTTCGAAAATGACGTCGACTTGGAGATCTTCTTGGGGTCAAACATCTTGGAAATTGTATTGAAATCTTTTTGGCCGGGACCACCCCACACGTGGAGCGCGGTGACTTCCCTCTCACAATTGATATTTGGGGGCCTCTCAAATTGCATATCTGGTCCCACTCTATGTCTCGCGTGCCGCGTCTGCTCGCACATCGCGGCCTACAAACCTCTCTCTTTGCATATCCTGTGGGACTGGATTTGCGTGCGACACGTGCAACCATATGTCTTGTGGGAGGCAGCGCGGAGCGTATTTTTATTCCATGTGCCGCACGAGAATGCTGGACGCAAGTGATTAAAAATGCACAAAATAAAATGCACCATGCGCCGTGTGGCACACGTACAGCGCAGCAGTTACGAAACGCCACGCTGCATTTTATTTCAGCGGTTTTCACGCAGGTATTTTTAGAAATATCGAACCGAGCAATTTATTTTCAAATGCGGATTTGGACGCCGATTGGCTTCAACTTTGTATACGATGGCGCGCTTTTTGATGCCGGCGAATAAAAATGCACGCTGCCACGTCGAGTTCAACAACAACCCAGACCTGAGTTCAACGCGTTTTACGTTAAACGTTCGGAATGGCTTGTGCTGTCGTGCTGCTGCCGCCCTCGTTGACGGTCCCATCCGAGGACAACCTCCACAAAGCACTCGGTCCCTACACGTTTGATTGGGCGCTAATAACGAGCTCCTCGAGGGTCGCAGTTCAACGGTCGACGGGTATTACCTCGGCAACAGAAACAGGGCGCGCTCGGCTTCGAGAAAGGACCGATGCATCGCTTGAGTGACGCGCTTGGCGATATACGCGGGTCGCATCTGTCCTTTCCAACGTCATGTAGCCCACCACGTTCAGGAGAACTCGAGCCAGAGTCAACGTTTAACCACATTGCCTTTGCGCTAAAGACGTTAATCCCGAAAATGTTGGTCTTTTTGAAACACCGTCGCTTCAACAAACTCCAATAGGTCCACGCCACGTCCACGCAGCTCCAGCGTCGGCGATGGCGCGTCGCCAAGGTGATGGTACTTGCCGTAGTGAATGCATGCGTTCCGAAGGACCAAGCTAAAGCTATTTACCTGCTCCTGTCCCTTGCCGCTTGGATCTTGCGGGTTCAACACGTCACCTCAAGGACACTGCCACCTTCACTTCGTCGCCAGCAAGTGTCTTGTGATTTGCGGCCGCCACGAACTATTAGCATTCGAATAAGCTCTTAGAGATCTCCGCGACCTTTTGTTTAGGGGCCAGTTCTACTCTGTCCCAGTGCTACGATGGGGATGACAAAGGAGTCGACGCTAAGGGCGCATACGAGCATTGCATTGACGTGAAGGTTATCATAGATCCCGCAGAGACGAGAGACGTACGAGTCGCTTTATGCTCAAGCCACGGGGAGGTACCCGCGGCGGCGGCGCGAGGCTGTGAGCACATACGGCGCGACAACGCCGATGGCGACGCCGCACACAAGACTCAACGAGGCGACGCCGAGACTTGCGCTGGCGGTCGTTGCAAGTGCAATCGTCGGTGTCGGTAGCGGCGTCCACTGCACGTAGTTGGTCGAGTTGAGCCACCACGCCGGGTAGCCTGGCGACGCCATCCCACCGAGCTCCTCGCTTGTTGTGACGTAGCCATCGCTGTACTTGGCGACAAGGGCCCACGCAAGCCGCCAGCGCGCGTCGACGACCCGCTGGGCAAACCGGTTGTGGGCCGTCTCGAGAAACACGCGGCGCGCCTCGTCGGTCTCGAGGGTTGTGGCGTGTTGCAGCGCGCGGTCGTGGATCGTGTGCGCTTCGTCCTGGAACTTGGTGGTGAAGGCGCTCACGTCTTCCGAGATGAGGTCGTAGCGCAGCGCGCGCCAGTTGTTGACAAAGTTGAATGCCCACCACGCCGATTCGTGGTGAAACTCGCTCTGCTTGCCCGCGAGGTCGTGGTACGACGGGGGCAGCGCCGCTTGACGGGACGAGAACGGCGTAAAGACGGTCCCGTGCGGCGCGCTCTGGCCAAACCACAGAGTGGCGTCGATCGACGTCACGTGCACGGCATAGCTGTACAGCGTGCGGTGGACCGAGATCGGGTTGACCCACCCGCCGCGCACGCCGCGCGTGAAGCCCGAGTAGCGCAGCGGCGACCCGAACGGCCCGGCGGCCACGCCTTTGGTCAAGTCAAACTCGGTGCCTTGGTACTGGTCGCGCAAGATCGTGGTCACTTCCTGAAGCGCAAGTGGCCTGTCGACCGGCGCGGAGAAGGGGTAGTGGGGGTAGTCTGCAACAAAGCCAAATGTCTTTGGCACGTCCACGGACGGTGCAAACGTGCTGTAGATGCGCCACGATCGCCCATCGGCGTAAAAGTGGGGCCCCGGGGGTGGGGCCGCACCATACACCTTGGCGAAATGAAAGTCCTCGGTGCGGCCTGGCACCTACAACGCATAGTACATAGACAATTGAGGCGATTGGGCGATGGTGGCTGGGGTACCTGGGGGGTGTACCAGCCCGCCGCCTCGGCCGCCGAAAACACATTCGCCGACGCGAGGAACTCGTCCGGCTTGTTCAAGTCGATCGCGCCGATCGTGAACCGGTTGGCCAAGACGGCGATGTGCGCATCGGGCACGCGCTGCGCCGCCCAAACCGCGCTGTCGTTCGCCGGCGACGCGAGGATGTGAAAGATCCACACTTCGCCGTACTTGTCGGTGATGCCCAGCGCCTCCGAGTCGTACCCCGGCGCCTCGGGCGTACCGCCGTACTCGCCGTAAAAGCCGTGCTCGACAGCGAGGTCGCCCATGGTTTGAATCGCGCACCGCGCCGAGTCGCAGCGCTCCATTGCAATGTTGGTGAGCTCGCCAATGCCAAACATCGAGTGGCCGCCGGGCATGTTGAGCGGCCACCCTGTGCTCTTGGCGTTGCACGTGCTTTCGCCGATCGCGAGCTGCACTTCGTTGACGATGCCGTACTCTTGCTGGATGTAGCTGTACGTGTGGGCCACCTGCGGAATCGATCCGAGCGGCACCGAGACGTTTTGGCCGCCCACGGGCTCGTACTGCGGCCCGCGGTCCTGCGCCACGATGCGCGGGTAGCCGCCAAAGATCTTGTACACGGCGCGCATCGAGCCCGGCGCGTGGTCGGCCGCGGCTATCGCAACGAGCCGCAAGTCGGCCGCGTCCCCGCCCGCGTCGTCGTTGTGCGTGACGATCGTCGAGCCGTCGATCGTCGCGTTCTTCCCGACAGCGATCATGGTGCACGCCTGCGCGGCCGTCGCTAGCGCGCTCAGGAGCGTGAAGAGACGCATCGGAGGCTCGGGCCAAGTGGAAAAGTGATGGTGTCGCTCGACGTCAAGCTGGTTGGGTGGGCCTCGGTTTCACAGAGACTAAAGCCACCCAACTTGAAACGGCGTCCGACGCCCGCTCCGTACCTCCGTGGCTCACATGGTATGGACACGGCAACGAATCGTCTAGGTTATAGGCAGCACTCCAGAGCTGCAAGCAATGCCATATATACAAGCAATGCAATGTACACAACAGTGTAGCCGATAATAGACCGAGCGTCATGCGCGCCGCGGGTCAATGACGTGGCGGTCGACGAAGGGAGGTACCGAAACGGCCACTCAACTGCAAGCGGTGCACGGTCGGCAGCAGAAGCCGGAGATCGCCATCAGCAACGATTTGGTTCTGTATTTCCGCCAAGAGAAGCCGTGCGCTTCTCGTCCGAGATTGACCGATCGCACTCGACCAGTGTATATGATACAGACACATATGTTCGAGATATAGTGTGGTTCCGACCTGACGCCAGCCTTGCGGTGGCTGTCTGCATCTCAGTGGTGCTAGTTTAGCGAGATTCGACGGCCCCGGCAGTGTATGGTGAGCCTCGGGCGGAGGCGTGCCGATGGCGGAAGGTATCGAGAGGCCAGGGTGTCGCTACTGTTGCGTGGAAATAGACTTCACAGACACGGCCTGGCGCCATGCTGCGCACGTATGATTTTGGACGCGTTTGATTGGCTAAAATGGGCTGAAACAGGTATCTTTTTGGCCAATCTGTTTTCCAGGCGGACAGAGTCCCACTGACTATCAAAAATAATATTCGTAGGTAGAAACATGAATACAAATACAATGTGACCTACGTGGAAAAGAAATTAAATCACGGAAGATTGCAAAATAAATTTCACGTCATTTCCAAGTTGGTATGTCGCTGGCTGGCGAAGCAGACATGGCGGCCGCGCTTGCCTTCGAGGTCGCGGTCGGGAAGCAAGTCCTCGTCTTCGGGAAGCATGCTGGGGTACGAGCATGCTACATGACGTGCAAGGTTGACGCCGTGTATGTGCAGGTCATCCGATACGTTCCGGCGGCGCGCAGCGCCTTGCTCGGCGTCGAGCTCCAGCGGCCCGTGGGCGACTGCGATGGCATTTGCCAGCAAGATGGCCAGCAGCACTTTGCCTGCAAGCCGCTTCATGGCATTTACGTTCGCGAGGAGAACCTCCATGTACATGCGCGAACATGCATCTGTCGACGCTCATCCTCGTTGTAGGCGTACACCAAGGAAGACGCGGCCGCGTGCATCATCCAGTGCATGTGGAAGCGCCGTCGCGCGCTCTCCGCTGTACGCTGCTTCCTCCACTCGTCCTCCTTTCTCAGCGCCTATGCATGTAGTTTACGTCGGTCGTGCTCTCGTCCATGTGGAACATGCTCGACAACAACCAGGAGCAGCTCAACATGAAGCGCGCCGAGAAGATCAAGTCGGCGTCGCAAGCCCTCTCGATCCTTGCGCGGCAGACGGTATGTATCCTGCATCGCCGCTGACGCAGGCGAAACCATGGTATGATCTAGTCCAAGGGCCCGCGTCTCTCGCACAGCGTGTCGTCCGTCGCGGAGGACTACCACGGGCCGCGCCTCCATTTCCCTCTGCGCTTGTCCAACGTTCTCGATATGCTCGAGCAGTTCAAGAAGGGCACGGTGCTCCACTCCAAGTAGACACCTCCTGCATGCCAGGAGCTTAGCTGATCGGTGTGTAGGTACGTCATGGAAGTGCTCACGGAGGCCAAGCGCACGTTTGGCCAGCTCCCGACGCTGCAGGAGATCACGGTCAACGCCGGCGAGAAGCTCACGGTCGTAGGCGACTTGCACGGGCAGCTCAAGGTATATCTTGGTCGCTCGGAGTTGCTACAAGGTCGGATTCGGATTAGGATCTCTTCACCATCTTTACGACCAACGGACTCCCTTCCAACAAGAACAAGTACTTGTTCAACGGGGACTTTGTCGACCGTGGGCTCTACGGCACCGAGGTATCGTTCTCTTCGTAGAGTGTTGAGGCTCAAGGCTGCGTAGGTGGTCATGACCCTGCTCTGCTTTCGGTCGCTGTATCCCGAGGGCGTCTTCCTCAACCGCGGCAACCACGAGTCGCGCAACCAAAACAGCTGGATGGGCTTTGAGGAAGAGATTTGGGAAAAGTACGATGGCACGAACGAAGGCGACCCGGCGCGCGCCAGCGTAGTGTACAACATGTTCCAGGTCCGCTTGCGTGCTCTACGGACCCTGGCTGATGCTGCTGATGCAGACGTTCTTTGATACGCTGCCGCTCTGCGCCCTCGTGCTCAAGAAGATCTTTGTCGTCCACGGCGGTCTCTTCTCGTGCGACAACGTGACGCTCGCACACATTCGTGGCATTAGCCGGAAGCGCGAACCGCCGCTGCACCAGCCAGGCTTCGAGGACAAGATCTACGAAGACATGCTGTGGAGTGACCCGCGCGCGATTGCAGTACGTTTACTCGATGCGATGGTCGTGGCCTGAGGAAGGTCCTAGAGCCGCCAGCCTTCGGAGCGCGGCGCCGGCACCGAGTTTGGCCACGAAGTCACCAACAACTTTTGCGCAGTCAACCGTGTGGCCTTGGTACATTTGATTTTTGTGATTGAAATTGATATATTGATACGTAGGTGATTCGGTCGCATGAGTGTGTGCCCGAAGGCTACGACGTGCTCCATGGCGGCCGTCTCATCACGCTCTTCTCGGCGTCGCGCTACTGCGGCACGCAGCTCAACAAGGGCGCGTTTCTGACGCTGGGCGCGGACCTCCAGCCCGAGATCCAGCAGTTTTACGGCAACCCGATGACCGAGGCCGAGTGGGAAAAGCCCGAGGAGGAGCAAGGCAAGCTCCAAGACAACCTCGAAGGCGACGCGCTGCGCATGATAGCCGAGCGCATCTGCGACCACAAGGCCGACCTCTTTTGGTACTTTACGCAGCACGACCAGGAGGCCAACGGCAAGGTCCCGCGCCTCGTGTGGGCCGAAGCGCTCAAGAGCGTGCTCGCGCTCGACCTGCCGTTCTTGTTGTACCAGGCCAAGCTCGCCGACTCGGACGCTGACAACCTCGTCAACTACTCCAAGTACTTCTCCTGCGCATTCGATCAACGACTCAGGCAGTAGCTAGGTTCTTGTCGCGCTATCGCATTGAGAACCCGGCGGTCGACGCGTCCGGCTGGCAAGAAAGCATCATCTCGACGATCTGCAAGAAGCTATACCTTGCGATGGGCGCCGGCAGCATCGAGCACGTACGATACGACTCTTGGGCAAGGGATGTCTCACATCGACTAGGCGTTTCGCATCTTCGACGCGGATGCCAACGGCACGATCGAGTACGACGAGTTTATGGCGACGCTCAAGGGCATGGACACGGGCTTGTCCGAGCAGCAGGTGTGCTCTTCCATCCCAAAAAAAGGCTACTATTAAAGATGGGACTAGATGTTTGAGCTCATGCGCACGGCCGACACGAACGACGACGGGCGCCTCGATTTCAAGGAGTTTGTCCAGCGCTTCGAAGTCATCTTCACCGACATTCGCAACCAACCGTCGGAAAAGGGCAGCTTTGTGGCGTCGTCAATGCCCCCCGCGCCGTTCAACGCGCCGAGCAAGCTCCAGCGCCGGACGTCGGAGCGCGACCAGCCGATTGGGCCCGTGCCGATGGAGAACCTCGACCCGGAGACGATGTGCGCACTCCTGCAGATCGGCAAGGCATTCTTCCAGCTCGACGGATCGCTCCTCGACAACTTTCACCGGTTCGATACCAACCGCGACGGTGTGCTCCAAACTGACGAGTTTTACTCGGCGCTCCAGCAGCTCGGCTTTGACTTTTCGGACACGCTCTTGACCAAGCTCATGGCCGCAATCGATCTGGACGGTGGCAACACGATCGACTACAAGGAGTTCCTGGCGGCCTTCAGCGTCAAGGACAGTAGCGAGACCGAGATGCTGGCCAAGGGCGAGCTCACGTGGCAGCAGACGATTCTGCAGCAAGTGTCGAATGTCTTTTACCAGCACCGGATCCACATTCGGTCGGCGTTCCGTCTCTTTGACCAAGACAACAGCGGCAACATCTCGCGCGACGAGTTCCGCGCCGGCATCTCGACGTTCAATGCCATTTTGGAGATGCCATTGAGCGAAGACCAGATCGAAGCGCTCCTCGTGCACCTCGACACGAACCGCGACGGCAACATTAGCTACAAGGAGTTTCTCGAAGGCTTCCAAGTCGTCGACGTCCGGCTGCAAGAAGAGTAGGCGACAACCCAAACCGCCATTTTGTTAAGTGCTCAAGACACCAGTCGCATTTTGCCCTGTACCGTGCGTTGCTACTAGGCGTTGGTGTCGACGCTATAGCGTCAGGTCGGGTGGAAGACGACGGCCTGCAACAGCTCCGAGCCCAAGGCGCAACCACAGGTGGTTATGACTGCGTCATTGAAGGACTGCCCCAGACAAGAACTGCCCAGCATCGTAGTGCTCTCCATAACCAACACGATTGCTATCAAGAACTGAGCGTCGGGCTGTGGTTAGGGCATCTCGGACTGCGTGTTCTTTGTGGGGTTTGGGTTTCTATTCTTATGGCAGAGTTTAAAAGTGGAGCTCGAAATAGCCACCCAGTGTCGAATTCGGTATGAGCTCCACGGGGTACGGCATCAGCGGGCATAAGAACGCGTTCTCGTCGGCCGTCAAGGTTGGCAACTACGTCGAGGACCAGTTTGGCGCGCAGCTGGCCAAAGGCAGCGTCGAGTGGCCGCAGCTCGGGCGGTCCGAGGTCCAAGATAACTTTGCCGACCCGCGCCTCAAGCCGCCGCCCGAAGACAAGCGCGGTGTGCACCACGAGACGGAGGCGTACGTGGCGCAGTCGGGGCTGTCGTACAGCCTCCTCTTTCCGCACGGCCCGTCCGGGAAGGAGGGCGACAGCAAGGACTGGTGCACGACCAACCAGCTCCTCCACGGCGCGACCCGGATCCCGACGCGCAAGGTGTTTGAGAACGGGTCCGAGATTGGCCCCCAGAGCATCGACCTGCGCGCCAAGCACGAAAAATCCATTGCGCTCCAGAAGAAGCTCGCGCGGGAAAAGCGCATCGAGACGGCGTACGTCTCGTCGGCCCACGCCAGCTCGGCGCTCGTTCGAAAGAAGTAGCAGCTCTGTACTACGGTATATTCAAAAACCTTGCATACGTCAACGGGTTCTCCTGCGTGATACGGACAACAAAGTTAGCAGCTGCCGCAGCTGCTGAGCACGAACAACACGGTCGATCGAAGCCGATAGAGCACGAAACTTCACAAACATCAAGGAGACGTCAACCGCGACCGCAGCACGGAATCATGCTGCACCGGCCACCAAAAGAGACAGAGGTGGTCATCAACGAACTTCGCTTGCTAGTTCGATGCGAACTGCACATCGTTGCCAACTTCAAGGCGCGAGCCAGTATGTAGGGACGAGTTGGCTTCATATCCTTGAAGGCCAGTGACCAAAGCAACGCGTTTGCAAAGAGACGGTGGCACGGGCTTGCTGTGCCGAGCAGAGTCCACACGCATTGTTCGTCCGTGTTGAAGTACGGAATTGAAAAAAACACGTTTTGATTGGCGGTTCTATTTTTACGCGACTGTGATTGGTGCATCGAATTTGCTGGCACACATAGGGATCACGCACGAGCCGATCCTGAAGAAGCCCACCGCCGCACTCTGCTCCCACCATCGACTATCTCGTTCTTGGTCAAAGCTATAAACAACAAGCCTGCTGCGACCAGCGCTGAAGATCGCGGCCGCTCGTGTCCAGTCGTCCCCTACACCGCCGGCACTACTTCTTGGCATGTTGAAGTCGCCATAAACTTCCATTGCGACAGGCTCGAGACAGTGCAAGGCGACGGGGCTGGTTGCGAAAAGCGAGGCAAGCGGCTGTACGAACGATGTGCCAAATCGATGGACGCGCGGGCTTGAACTCGATAGATCATCCACTTCGCCCTCATCGGTCGTTATTGCTCACGAACGTCTGTCGACAACAACTGCTCCTACTGGATACAACAATCTTGCAACTAAACCCAACTTCTATTCATACAATTGAATATGCCATGACACGAGACAGGAGTCAGCTACGACGCGATTGCGCTGGGTCCATGGATACGACGTCATAATGCGTGCAGTTGGTACCACGGATTGTGCCAATCGATTATGCCGGGACATGGGCGACGACGCCGTTTGCATCGCTCCAGGGTGACAGCTTCTACCTTCTGCGGTCGCATCCCAATAAGAGCGGTCCCTCCTTGATGACGATGACGTGTGCTGCAGCGGGTCTGCGCGTGGCGAGCTGCATCTTTTGAACTTGTAGGTGGTGGCAGCACATTTTATGGTACTCGTATACCCGTTATTCAGGAGGATATATGAGCGATGGAGACAAGTCAACTAGTTTCAAGCGCCTCGCAGTGCCACATCGATGACGCCTAGTTTTGTGTACACTATTGTCCCATAACACAAGAAAATGCCAATGGCTGAGCCATAATTGTTAGCGCTTCTTCGGACGCTTCTCGGCACGCAACGCTGCTTTTCGAGCCTCGGCTTCTTGTACTGCGACGACTGCAATGTACTCTTGGAGGTCCGCCTCGGCGTCGACGTTGGTCTTGATGGCCAACGCAGCCGTCTGGCGCCGCTACGTATCGAGAGATTGAAGGCGACCTCGGTGTGTGCAATTCGAACGAGGTTGGAGGTCAGGCACCGGGCGCCAAATTGAACCAAGTGCTGAGCGATCGTGCGTTTGGTGCAGTAGTGCAGCGGCGTCGACCCGAACCTACGCGAATCTATGAGTGTGCCTACCCTACTCGACCCACCGGTCCTTGGCCGTTGCGTCAGCGCCGTAGCTGAGGAGCCAAAACACGAGGCTGCGGTGCGCGGCGTGGACAGCCAAGTGCAGGGGCGTCGCACGGCCCTACTCGAGGCGCTCGAGCTCCGTCCTGTGATAGTCGCAGCACAATCGTACGAGCATCGTGGTGCTGTGGAGGTCGCACGAAGTGTGCTGGAGTAAGTGCACAACCACATGCTTTTGGCCGTGGACGCAAGCTTCGTGCAGCAAGGATCGGCCAGAGCTGCTATCCCGGCGGTTGACGACCGCGACGTCGTCGGCGACGTAGGCCACGACGCTGGCCAAGTCCCACGCCCCAGTGTCGTCGCTCTCGAACGAAACCATCGTGCAACCGCCGTCTCACTTGTGGTTAATGTATCTAGTACATAATTGTCGGACTGAGGCGCAGAACTTTAGCTTGGTACTCGCCTCCACCCCGCGTCAGTCAGTGGTCCCTAGCGCACTAGACGCGCCTGGCGTGTCACTTCTTGGTTGTCACTGCGCCAGCATCGTTCGTACTTGAAGTACTCGATTCGACGGTGGGATTGCGCGCACGACAGCCACGCAATATTTTGGCGCCGAGGGGGCGAGGCTGCGCTGATTCTTTCGCAAGAAGTACTAGAACTAGTAGCTTTTTGATTGGACCGACCGAGTGTGGAAATATTGTCTTGATGACGGCTCTACGGTTGCATAAAAAGGAGGTCATTCCTGGCTGCTTGCATGACGCTACTGTACTTTGCCAAGACGTCGGTGGTGTTGTGCGTGTGCCGTGAGCAATGCAGCGCATCCTGGCGCGCTGAGTGCGACGGTGGCGGCGTGCGATTGGCAGTCGATCCAGACAGATTCGATTTCGCAGTCACAATGCACCTAGCAGTATCTACCTCGCTCGCATGAGTGCGCCAAGATCGCACAGCTGACGTTGAACTAGATAGTCCATTACCGACAGTATTAGTACACCCACGAAGGAGCTGCATGCGCTCACCTCCTTCACTAAACTTGAAGGACCGGTACCAAGTGTGTCCAAGGACTGCGCTCGGCGATGCATACCGAAGCCTCCGAGACACCACCCGAGCAACCACTGATAGCATATATTTTCACAAAAACGATGATGAATCTGCTGACGACCTTGGCAAGGAAGGTGGTGCGGAACAACGCAGCTGCAGGCCAGTGCCATTAAGTTCCAACCCACGCACTGTGGGACAGTCGCGAGTGTCAATTTGCCCCGGTTTTATGCCGCGACAAGCGCGTCATCCCTGCATTACACGTCGCCCAAGCCCTGCGGTGCACTCGCTTGCACTTGCTACGATACGAAATAACACTGCGTTGGTAAACGCATGGAGACTGCGTCCAGCCAACCGTCTCCAACAGACGCGAAAAAAACTCACTTGACGCGCAAGCCGATCTGACGTGAGGGTGGCGGCAAGTACTGTGCATTCCATCATGCCATCGTGACACGGTGTGACGCGATGGCATCATGCTTGGCAACGATGTTGCCATGGTCGGACAGATGCCAGCTTTCCCGCTAGAGACCCCCACTGCGCGCCAACAAGAGCGGAAGAAGAAAAGGAATAAGCCCGTTCACCTCGGTCGATGGGTGAGAGTGGGAGCTATCATAAACATCCGCACCAAGGACGGTGGTAACGAAACAAGCTGGCGAGATTCAGCAAACGGCAGCGACCGGGTCCACCATCGACGCATGTTTTTCCAGCCGTCGCCAACAAGTTGGCACTCGATCGGCACGCCGACCGTTGGGGCCGCTCAGCTGTCCACGCCCCGGCGCGGGCTTCTCCGAGAGCTTGGGTAGAGTGGCACCGATGGCTAGACAGACGACCCCTTTCTCAGGCGGAAGCTAGCGCTGCGACGACTGCATCGCACCCATCCATTATCCCACACTACGAGAGTAGTATAAATGGCGCCGCGTCAGACACTTGTCAGTTGGCAACTTGCTTCATTGGACACAGGTCATGCCCCACCGACGCAAGGTCATTTGCTGCTTCAAGGACTGCGTCAACCCGGCCTTGGCGCGGTCGACCAAGTGCCTCCTCCACCGGTACCGCGAGCGCTGCGAGGTCGAGGGCTGCCCCAACCAAGTGTACGCGCGCCAGCGCTGCGTGCGCCATGGCGGCAAGCGGCGCTGCCAGCGCGCGGGTTGCTGCCGCAACGTCCGGACTGGCACATTTTGCTCCAAGCACAACCCCGAGGTCGACAAGCAGTGCTCGGAGGAGGGCTGCACGCGCCAGGCCCACGCCCGCCAGAAATGCGTGCGCCACGGCGGCGGCCGGCTCTGCAGCGTCGCGACCTGCTCGGCGTATGCGCGGCGCGAGGGCATGTGCATTCGGCACCACCGCCTCGCGACGGCCGAGTCGTCGCTCGACGACTCCAACACCATGTCGGAAGAAGATTTTGCCGCGCTCCTGGAAATTTGCGAACACGACGGTGATGACGACGTCGTCGACGCGCCGGTGCCACCCCAAGAGGAGCTTGCGTTCATCGATTCGCTTGTCAACAGCTCTGTGTTCGACCACGTGGTCGAGTACGCGGTCAAGCGGTCGGTATGACCCTCGCAGCGTCGTCTTTTCTCCCGGAAAAGACCGACCAGACTGACTTTTAAAGCGCCCTATTTGCTGGAATCGAAGCCACGTATTTGTTGAATCTCTTATCGCAGCCTTGGGTATGCTCCAACATCCTCTTTCGGATGTAGGTACTTCGTCGCCAGTGCTTTGTCGCTACCATTTTACCAATCTTGGAAATTTTACCTCCACTGTTCAACCTACTGCGAGACATGCTCATGCCCACACGAATGCCCAAGCTTTTTTAATGTACCTGAGGAGGAATGCGCCACGTGATCTCGACTCGTTCGAGAGACTCTTGATCCAGCCCATGCACATAAAAATAAAGATGAAAAGAATAGGCGCGAAGGGTATCGAAGCGCCGCCGTCGCCTTGCTATGGATCGTCACGCCGTGTCTAACGCATTGCAATACGCTGGATGCTGGATGAAGACAGAGTTTGCCAGCACATCGCGACCTCGATTACTTGTCATGTGTACTAGTACACGACCAATAGCCCTTGCTGTTAATATACCGGATTTTCTGTCCATTTGTTTGCTTGAAATAATCTTATAGCGGCGCCATGAGAAACATCAATGACAGGAGTCTCGCCGAGATACCGGTAAGACCAAGCATCAATGAGCCTACTAAGAAGTACCACATGAGAGCGACGCAGCGGCTCGAGTGGAATCTTGCACCTCGACGAGGTCAAGGTGCGACGTGAAGGCCACTTCGTATGGGTGTACGTAGAGCGCAACGCTGCACCTTGGATGTGCAAGCGGGAAGGAGCTCAACCTCCGAATGATTTTGCTTTGGCACGGCAAGCACATCGCCGTTCCTCGTCCAGCACCAACGAATACGTCAATGATACCAACTGCAGCCAAGCAGATGTGTACAAGTGACCACATTTACTGTACATAGCTCCCAGAAGAATCACGACAAGCACCCAAGTGGCTCGCTCCCACAGCAGCAGCAAGCGACACATTTTGATGCGAGAGGGCTTGGTGACTAGCTCTGCTCGCCATTTGGCAGCGAAAACGGTGACGCACCGCGAATGAGTTTCGTGTCGCGTTTCGAGTTTCGAGCTGGATTGGGCGTCCAACCAATGCTTCGTCGGCTCCTGAACGACGAACTATAGTACCTCAGTTGCTCGAGTCATAGGAGCGGTGCCAGTAAGATCAGCGAGCATTATGCTCTCGTGCCGGCGTCAACGGGTGCTGCTCCGCCGTGCGCACATCACCGCACATCACCGCAGTGTAAATGCAAACTCGCATAAAAACTACGTGACGACCGCAGTATATGCGTTGAAGAGTCCAGAGTCCAGCGCTTGGGATCCAACCGCATTTCTTTAACACCAACCGCGACACCTACCCCTGCGACACCTACCCCTCCAGCAAACCGAGATTTCGCAGCATACGCCCCCAGGATGAAGACGCGTCGTACTGCGTACGGCTGCTTTGGCTGAATAATGCCAGGTACGCCACCATACCTCGCAGCGATACATACGTCCTGCTTGAGCGGGTCTGGAAGCATGTCGCGGCTGAGCACAATCGACCCATTTGTGTGCTGCGTAAGCGCTCCGAACCATTCGCACCTGACGCCGTCGCGGCGACCGGCCTGCGCGTATCTCGAGCATCGCCATTCAGGGTCTACGGGCTTGTCCACGGGATGTTCACGTAGTCGAGGCTGGCGTCCGTGTGGGTGTTACGCCGCAAAATGTTCACGGCGTCACGAATCCCAGCGTCATCGTTGAGCTCTAGTGTACCGGCAGACGTCGTCGTATGCTCCGAGTGCCAACTTTGGCTCGCCTCGTGGGGACGAGTAGCCGGTCGTCGGGACGTCCGAACGGCAAGTGCCGCTCAGCGTTACGCGCGTCGCAGTGTCAGACAGAGCCATGTGGCAATAACCTCACGCCACGTCCGGTGCGCCTTTCGGTCTGGAGGGGTCAAACGTCGGAAGCAAAGTAGGTTTACCCAAGAGCGCGGTATTGGATGACTTTTCAATGGTGAGCACAAGAGAGGCCGGCCGCGTGTAACCGCCTTGCGCAGGTACTGCTCCCTTGGCAACGGGAGGATCGCCACTGTACCTACTACGTCCGTTCCCACCGCATTGTACGGTTCATGCGCACCCGACGTGGCCCTAAGCCGCCCGACGAGCAGTCACTGTGGTTCGTGGTGCTTACTCGAGCTTCGCGACGACGTCGTCGTCGTACCTGAGCTCGAAGCCGCGAGTAGCTGGGCTGGAAAGAGCTCGTACAGTGCAGTCGAAAGATTCAGCTGGCGACGTCTTGCGTATGACCACTCTCCTCCTCGCCGCGTGGGCGCACAGTTGGACGTCAGCCGCGTAGTAGCATAAACAGCTCCTGACGCCATTCAGAATTTGCAAAGCAAAAGCGTCCGATCAGTTTTGCCATTTTCAAATCTGCCATGCCGAGTCGCCGCAAGCTGCACTGCTGCTTCCACACATGCACGAACGTGCCGCAAGCCGGGTCCTCCAAGTGCACCTTCCACCGGTACCGCGACCGGTGCCACGTTGAGAACTGCACCAACCAGGTCTACGCGCGCCAGCTCTGCGTACGCCATGGCGGCAAGCGCCGCTGCCAGCACCCGGCCTGCTCGACCAACGTGCGCTCCGGTCGGTTTTGCTCCAAACACAACCCGCACATTGACAAGCAGTGCACCGAGCCTGGCTGCACGCGCCAGGCCCACGCCCGCCAGCGCTGCATTCGACACGGCGGTGGCCGGCTCTGCGGCATGGTCCACTGCGACGCCTACGCACGACGCGAAGGCATGTGCATTCGGCACCACCGACTCGCAACGACGACACCGGTGGCGACACCCGAGACGCTCCTGGCGCCGCCGTCCGACGACCTCGATTTCATCGACGAACTGGTCAATAGCCCAGTCTTTGACCACCTGGTCAAATACTCGGTCGGGATGCTGCGCGCATGATCGTCCTAGCTTGCTAATTCTCTAACATTATTCTTCCGCGTTTCGCGACTTGCTTGTTGGCGTGGCGAATCAGGCGTGTGTCCCCTCGCCCCAAGTACTGTTGACGTAGCGCCCGCCTGTCTCTGCGCCCACCTGCACGCGCGGCTATGCTGCGAATCTCGCGTCATCTCTGATGAAGAGTAAGCCTCTTGCTCACATCTTGAAGCAGGTACCGTGCTACATCCGTCACCCGTCGTAGCCGAGTGGTCGGCGTCGATTTGGGCGGCCTGGACACGACGACATCCGATGGACGGACACGCATCTGTCCGACCTTGACGTCTTTGTGACAGCTCCCGGGTGCGGTTTGTATCACACCAGGTGTGACGAGAACCAATGCAAAAGCAGATCGTCTCACATGATTATGCAATCTCCTCGTTTCGGTCTACGTACCCTAGTCCCTACAACGCGTACGTCTCTTCGATTTCAATGTACTTGGACTTGGGCGCGATCTTCTTGGCGAGGTACATCAAGCTCGTGACGTTGAGCCCGCCGCTTTTGCGCGGGAGGCCGCGCCGTGAGCGTCGCTGCTCCTCGTCTGTCTCACTGAGCAATTGCAGCAGGTCGACCTTGCGGCCTTCGGGGAGACAGATGCCTACACGCACCTGCATACCCAATGCGAGTGAAGACGAAAAGGCGTACTCAGGTGCGCTGGCGCAGGGAGGGCTGTCGGCGTTACTACTGCGTCGTTTGGCTTGGACGACCGTCGCATCTGGCGCTCTTGTCGGCGCTGGGCCTTTCGTCGCTGAATGTCTTGGGCTTGGCGAGCCTGCTCCACTAGTCGCATTCGAAAACGCTTCAATTCGGTTTCTGGTCGATGATGGGAGACACCTTGCAGTGTCAATGCGAGCTTCCGTGACTCTTCTGCGTGTTCCTGCAGCACGCGTTGCAGCGAGACTTCCATGTCCAGCTACAGTATGCAGCTACGGTAGTGCGCTCAAGACGGTCTTACCAGCGCGGCGTCCGGTGTTGTCGACACAGACGCGGAGAGACGGTCGTGGACAGTCTACGAAAGCCCCGTTTTTATGGCGCCAAGCAGTGACGCGAATGAAACTCTACGTGGATACTCGAGTGGTCGATCTCCGTTGACGAGAGTGCGACCTCGTCGATCGCACCTCGCCTGTCGACGTCGCCTGTCGACGCTTCGCTACATAGATTCGTTGCGACGTCGTTCTGTATCTTGGCGTCTTTCTTGTCCCCGTCCTGGCTCAGATCCTTGGCGTCGGGTACCATTTGCTCGCTCATCGTGGCGATCACAGAGCCAAAAGCGTACGGCTGCCACGTGTTGGTCTCGTCGTAGTAGCCCAATATCGGGCTGCCGTCTTTGGCTTGCGGTGGCTCCCACTGCGACGTTCCCAGAACGCTGTTGACGTAGTAATATGCACTGTCGAGGTCGCTCCACGTCTGCACCCATCGGTCGGCGGCGTCCTCGTCCTTGGCGTCGGCGCGGGGACTCGCAAAGCTGAGTGCTTGGAGCTCCTTGCCCAAGTCGATGGCTTCGGATTCGAGCAATAGCCATTGCAGAATATCGCGCACCATCGGCGCATCCTAATGCTTCTCGTTAAAAAAAGTGCTGTCGAGGAGGGTACCGCCGGGGCCAAACGCGCAAAGACAAACGCCGCAATCTCATCTTCGCACGTGGCCAAATCGTGCTTGTGGTGCACCTTGTCTTTTAGAAAGAGGTAGCTACATGACAATTTGGACATCCTCTTTGGGCGATGACAAATGTACAGCTCGTCCAAGTGCTCGGGGCGCACACTTGTCACTGCAAAACAGCGCTTCTTCATCTCTCGAAGCTCAGCTGGAATCGCGTCGAGGCGGTCGCAGACGTCGCTGAGCGTTGATTCGTGCTATGCACAGAACTGCTTGAGCACAGAAACGATATAGACCGCGCGTACCTTGGCGTCGGCGTCCATACAACAAGACGAAGTACACAGCTGCCGCATCCGGCTTCGCATTTGCGCGTTCTCGTCGGCCAAGCGCTGGGCGACAACGAGGTCGACTCGAAGGCGCTAGCAAAACGACACGGTCACATGCACGCTAAGAATGCCCTACCTCTTTGGTTAGCGCGGCTTGCAGCTCCGTGATGCGTGTGCGCAGGTCTTCGGCCTCGACGCCTAGCGCGACGGTCTATCCCAGGCGCGCGTTTGTTGATGTCAACCTGCGGCATTCACCGTGGCCGCCAAGCGCTGGTACGTCGTCGTCATCTCGAGAATCACGCGGGCCCACGGGACATACGGCGTGTCTTCGTCGGGTAGCGAGCCATCGTCCTACGCATTGGCATTCATAAAATTTGTGGATTTTGCAATCAGAAAACATCTTCTTATTGATGGCACGTACCGAGGCTTCGAGGAGCGACCGAGCGAGCACATCTTGGAGGACCCACTCAGAGGACGCCAACTGCGCTTGTGCCTGGCGCGTCGCGCTCTCGGCCGACGCATGGACGTACGCAGCCATCCGGTCGCAAAAGGCGCCAAAGTCTTCGTACGACAAGAGCGTCTCCACAAGGGCGCGCGTGCTCGGGGCACGAACGCCGTTGCTTGCTTCCTGCAGCGCGTCGAAGAGCGTCGACGGGTCGCAGCCGAGGTCCAGCACCATGGCCTCGAGGAGGCGCTCGGCCACGTCGGTGAACTGCGTAAAGACCGCGTGCTGCGCCAGGGTGTGCTCGTCGGCGCGCGAGTGACCGACGAACGCAGCCTTGTGGGCGGCGAAGAAGCGCTCGAGCGGCAGACGCCACCCGTCGCCCTCGATGAACTGCGCGACTGCATCCACGACAAAGTTGCTCATGTCTACCGTTTCAGTGGCGACACGAGTCTGATAGCTCGTATACCAACGACGACGACTAGTTAGTCGATGCGACGGTATTAGTCGGCGCTGCCATACCGAGGAGACGTGGTATGCTCGCATGTGTATCTGGGTACGAAGAGGACGCGGAAATGACCAGCATAATGCATGGCATCATGCGATCGAATGCGTGTATCGGAGTGCTGACGGTGTAGTATCAAGGTGTCAAGTCACCACGCCCCTTCAAGATACAGGTGGCGGTATCCGGACGATGTTTACCGGATGCGTTGCTTCAGATCGAGGTGACCGATGGGGCCGAAGAAGGGGAAGAAGGGGAAGGAGAAGAAGGGGAAGAAGGCCAAGGAAGGTGATGGGAAGGAGGCCGATGGGTCCAAGGAGAACGAGGCCGAGCGCCAAGCGCTCATCAAGGACGCCAAGCGGCTTGCGGAGAAGGCCAAGAAGGAGGAAGAAGCCTTCAATGAGTTCCAGCAGCAGCGCGAGAAGATCAACTACTTCTGGATCGTCGAGAAGAAGAACCTCGAGGACAAGAAGGCCGAGCTCCGCAACAAGGAGCGGGAGCGCCAAGACCTCGAGGAGAAGCACCAAGTCGAGATCAAGGTCGCGCCTCCATGTCTCATCCTAAACTCGTCCTCCTCCTCATCACCATGGCGACGTAGGTCTATAAGCAACGCGTCAAGCATCTCTTGTACGAGCACCAGAACGAGATCACGACGCTCAAGACAGGTACGGCTCCATGGCCCGACCTACGCCCATGTTCCAGTAGAGTCGGAGACGTCGCTCAAGCTCGGCCAAGACGACCATCGCACGACCGAGCGCGAGCTCAAGACCGACAAGCGGTCGCTCAAGCTCGACCTCAAGGAGATGGAACTGTCCCATGAAGACTACCTCAAGACGCTCAAGCAGGTAGCGTCACATCCAATCTCTACCTGCATCGACAGCATGGACGTCGTAGGAACAAGACAAGCGCATTACGATCCTGCGCCAAGAGTTTGAACGCCATGCCAAGGAGCTGCAGCAAAAGTTTGAACGCAAGCGCAAGCTCTTCCGGGACGAGCTCGAGTCGACGCGGCGCGTCGAGACCGGTCGCATCGAGGAGCGCAAGAACAGCCACATTGCGCAGCTCATGACGTCCCACGAGAAGGCGTTTGGCGAGATCAAAAACTACTACAACGACATTACGCACAACAACCTCGACTTGATCAAGTCGCTCAAGGAAGAGGTCGCCGAGATGAAGAAGAAGGAAGCGACGGACGAGAAGCTCATGTTTGAGATCTCCCAAGAGAACAAACGCATGTCCGAGCCGCTCAAGAAGGCGCTCCTGGTCCGACGCCACTCTATATGTATGCAGAAAGCTCATTTCGTCCTATGCTAGGACGTCGAGCGACTACGGCAAAACATCAAGAGCTACGACAACGACAAGATTGCGCTCAAGCAAGCCAAGGCCGAGCTCCTCGTGCTCGAGGACGACCTCGCGACCATCTCGTGGGAGCACGAAGTCCTCACGCAGCGGTACGCTCAAGTCAAGAAGGAGTACGATGCGCTCCACGCACAGTTTCAAGCGAGCATCTACGACGTGCAGCAAAAGAACGGCCTCAAGAACCTCCTATTGGAGAAGAAACTCGAGTCCATGGGCGACGTCCTCGAACAGAAGGACGCGCAGCTCAACGAGGTCCTCGCACATGCGCAGCTCGACCCGAGCGTCGCCGGCCAAGTCAAGCGTCGGCTCGAAGACATCATGGAGGCCAAGAACCAAGAGGTGCGCGACCTCGAGAAGGAGCTCGGCATTGTCTTGCGGCTGCTTCACGACTTCACACAAGCCGCGCGCGCCAAGCTCGCCGAGTACGGCACGCCCCTCGACGAGCTGGGGTTCGATCCGAACGACCACGCCGCGCTGGCCAAAGCCGCAACGGCGACGCGCTTACCGCCGATCGGCAGCGGCAAGCGCGAAAAGCCGAACAACGAGCGACCACGGATGCTGGCCCACGTCAACGTGGGCAAATGAACGGAGACAGAGACATCGGACGAGAGTAGTTTAATGTATATATATACTGCGATAGAAGACTCTGACGCTAGGACATCGAGTGCGCTTAGACGACCTTGTACGCATTGCGGTTGGCGTCCTTCCCGAGCTTCAGCTTGGGGTGCACGACCATGTAAATATCGTCGATGCGCGCGTCGAGCTGCGCAATGCGCTCGCGGGTCATCTGTTCGAGGGCGTCCATGCGGCCGTTCAGCATGTGGATGGTCTCGAGGAGCATGCTTGGGTGGATCGGCATCGAGAGCTTGGCCACGCCGTCCTTGGCGGCGGCAGCCGCGGCCGCCTGGTTGTACGCGGCCGTCAAGTTGTCCGTCTCCATCGAGATCCCCATCTCGCCGAGCGTATGCAGGTTCGCGTGCACGTTGTTCATGAGGTTGAGGTTGAGTTCTTCGTTCGACTCGAGGGGCATGCCCATGTTGATCGCCCCTTCCTCGACGTCGTACGTGGGCATCGGGCCGCCCAGCTCCTTGATGCCGTACCGCTTCTTGAAGCTCTTCATCCATGCCGGCGAGACGCCGGGCCAGCCACCTTGGTCGTCCGTCTTCATGAGGTTGCCCGTCACTTGCGCGAGGAGTTCGGCCGCCTTTTGGTGCAGCGCCTCGTGAGTCACGGGCTTGGCGTGGCACTTCTCCGTGATCATCCATCGGTACAGCTCGCGCTCGACGGCCGGGAAGGCTTCGTCGTCCGAGACCTTGAGCGTCTTTCGGCGCAGCGACGCAAGGTGCTTGGCGTCGCCGCAGAAGCGCATGATGCGCTCCTTGTTCTTCTTGATGTCCGAGATCTGCTGGCGAGAGATGCCAAGCAGCGCGGCAATGTCGACGGGCTTTTCGCCATTCTCAAGGCGATGCAGCACTTGCTGCTTCTGGTACAGCGACACGACGACGCGCTTGCGCTTCTGGGTCGGCGGAGGTGGCATGTTGGCGACCGCGGACCCAGCCGTCATGGGCAGGCCCTTGCCCTTGGCCTGCTTGCCGCGGGCGGCCTTGAGCGACGCCTCGTGGGCGCTCTCATGGTGGTCGTCCTGGTCGTCCTCCTTGAAGCCGCCGTCGAGGCCGTTGAGCGTGTCCGGATAGCCCACATCATCATCCGGTGCCAGGCCGACAACCCCGTCGTTCAAGTCGTTCATCTGCCGCCGCCGCTTATTATCCGAAAATGAACTCTCCGGAAACCAGTCATTGGAAATTCGAAAATCGCTCCCCTTTGAATTCAGCCAATCCGAGACAAGAATGCGTTTTATTGGTGGAATCGACGCGAAAAACAGCCTTTTTGACCAATCCACGCGCGAAAGAACACGCCACGCGCTGGGGCGGCGAGAAAAGCTTCGTCGGGAATTAGTGTAGGTCGGCCGCCTTGTCGATATCGCACGCCGTTCGAGGACACGTGTCCAGAGACTTGCGCTTCAGGACGCTCCGAATAGAGCTATTGATGGCGCCCCTACGGAAAAACACTTTAAAAATCGAGCCAAATGCGTTGCTTAGCGCCATTTGAATCCCTCACAGTCCATCCGGATATCGAAGCGCGTTGCATTCAATGACAAGTTGTACGCTCGCGAGGGCATTCACAACACTCTGACAACATGACATATGCGATAGGCCATGATTCTGAATGGCAACCTTGAAGTCAAAAGTGCGTCCACCGTCGACACCAGTCTTGTGCCACGGATGCAAGCGACACTACACTGTAGTAGCATTTTTAGCATCTAATCAAGTTATTCATATGCGAGCAAATGCCGTGGGAAGCTCGACGAATCGATGTCCAGCCCGAGGTTCATTCCATAAACAACTCTGGGCGAGCTAATCTGCAAGCTTGAGGCAAGGCGACGACTGATAAAGTTTTTCGGGGGCGTGGTTGCTGCCCTGTAGTCTCGTCGACAACAAAATTATTCTTTGTCGAATGAATCACGCTCTTACGTTGGCGCGCGTTCGTTGGTGGACTTTTGCGCAGGAACGAATCCAGTGTTTCAAAATCCAGTTTCAAATGCGCACGTCACCGCCTTTCTCAATGCAGTCGTTCGATTGGCCATAATGCTTTTGAACGCACCAATCCAAGCAAGCTCTGCGAGTTGATTTTTAGCCAATCCAGCCCGAGTTGCGCCGAACGCGGCCACTTGGAATCGAACGGGCCGATGGACGCCGACTTGCGCCAGAAGTTTGAGTTCCTCTGCCAGATCAATGAGCTCGAGGCCGCCATGGGTACATGCTCGCAGGTTGACGCTCTATATGTATGCTTCGACTAGCGCTCCTCCATACGCTCAATGCCCTTGGCATCGAGCTCCAGCCCACCGACCGCGAGCACCTTCGGTTCGTCTTCGCCGTGCTCCGCGACAAGGTCCGCAAGATCTCGGACCGCATCGACGATCTACAGAGCCAGTATGACGAGACGCTCGAGATGTACGACCGCGTGGTACGCCGGCTACATGCGATCGCCATGGCCTTACCTCGCGCCGATGTAGATGGAGGATGTTACGCCCTTTGGCTCGCTCAAGCACGAGCACCGCCTTCACATTACGATCCAGGTGCGTCCCCATGCACAGATACTTGACGTGATCATCCGCCTAGTACATCGTCGCGCCCATGCACTGGCATCTCGCGGCCGAGTCGACGGACCGCTTTGTCATGCCCCTTGACTACCGAACGCTCCTCGCGCCTTACATGGAGCCCACAGTGTACATGCTGCGCACCCATCCAGTCGCAAGGCGTTGACGCGCGCTCATGTCGTAGGACGGACTCTGTGCGCCAGCACGCGACCTGCTTTCGCAAGGCGGTGGGGCGTGCCCAGAAGGAGACAGGGCAGGCGCTCCTCGAGGTAAAGACGCTGCCATACGCCAGCTAACCGACGTGGCCCGCTCGTAGCTCAAAGACCTCTGCAACGATTACCCGGTCCTGGCGTTTCAGCGCAATACGATCCGGTTTTTGAATCGCTGCGAGGACCACTTGCTCGGCGGCGACGCGATCGACGATTTGCTCAACGACACCAATGGCCGGTACGGCAAAGAGTCTCGGGCTCGTTCCTGATGCCTATGTTAGCACATGCTTGGCACCTGTCGAGCTCTTTATGACGCCCGAGACGCGCTCCTCCAACAACTGGATGGCGCTTGACGAGAGCATGGTCAACCTTCCCGGCGCGACGCTCTACGACGTCCCTGCGTCCGTGGTTGTGGCACCGCCCGTCAAGCCAGAGCCCGTGGATATCTAGTGCTCGAGAATACAAACATGCTTGCCTCCTCTCGCACCTGCACGCTGGCTATTTGGACAGCATCCCATGATGGTCTTCGCCTTGGGCGCCGTAATACTGTATGTGGCAAATTCGTAGTTGAGCCGACAACGACGTCCGGTCACGACGCATCTTAGGGTCTCACCTCGCGCCCTGGGGCCCAGGTACTTGGGCGAAGCCTGCGGCGTCTTCGGGTGTGCATAAGGTTATGGGCTAGTATGGATACGATGGCAGCAGACACAGACAGGGGACCAATCACCTTGTTGGATGGACCAACAAAACTGGGATCGATAGAGCCGCTAACCCAGTCCTCAAAGTATAGTATAATCGATTATACAGCGCATCATACCGTCTGGGACTAGAGAAGAAAGGCGCCGGTCGTGTTGCGCATGCGCTTGCGCGCGATAAAGACATTCATGGGACGGCCGTGGTCCGAATCGAGCACGACCTTGTCGACGAGGATCTCAAAGCAGTCGTCAAAGTGGCTGCGTAGTTCGCCGAGCTTGAGAATGTCCGATATCTTGCTCGGGGTCGTCCAGCGCCACGGACTCCCATCGGGCGGCGCGCAAAACTGCATCCAGCCAACGACACCGCCAACCGGTAACAAGGCGCGGATGACCGCAAAGAGCCGCCGGTTCAAGAAGCGGCAGCCATAGATACACTGAAGTGGACCCCACGCGTACTGCGAGATGGGCCCGACGCTGCGGAGGTCCATCTTGATAAAGTCCACGGCCTTGGCGACGCCACGACAGGCGGCGAGCGCAAGGCCCTTCTTGCGGCCCATGCGGTTGTCGTTGACACCGACGAACCGGTGTGGAAGGTCCGGTGTGTCTGTCGCGAGCACTTCTTCAGCAAAGTACACCACGTCGCGACCCGAGCCACAAGCGAGGTCCAGCACAGCGGCGTTCGACGGCGCCTTGGCACCAGCGACGACCGGCACCAGTTCGAAGAGGAGCGCGTTGGGCGACCATAGGCGCGGTTGCGGGAAGAGTGGCGTCTGCGCACCGGTGAGGTCCAGGGCGTGGGCTTCGGCTGCGATGTCGGTCGCATCGACAATGAAAAACGCAAGATGGCGCCACGGCAACTGCTGGGGTCGAATCGTCTCGGAGAGGAACCAGTCGACTTGGGCGTGCGCCTTTGTCCTGTCGCGTGGGCAGAGGAGGCCAAAGGCGACCTGTCGCGCCGGGTATTCTACGCCGTGAAGCCGTGAGCCTCCTACAAAGTTCGAGAAGGTACAGACCGTGGCAGCGCGCCTTTTGCGCCGACCATGGAATGTGCACCTAAGTGCAAATTGAGCTGCAATTGAGATGCAAAGCAGGAACTTACTACGCGATCGCACGTCAGCACGTAGACCTGCTCGTTGTCCTCACGCAGGTCCAGTAGAGAGAGCCCGGACGTGCGCCAGTGAGCGAGCGATGGGGCCTCCACGACCATCGCCGAAGTCGCGTTTCGAATATGGCGGGAGCGGATCACCCCATTTTGGAATTTCATGTAGTATATAGTGTATGCCTTTGGCACAACGTCGGTAGCGTCGTCGAATAAGCTCACTGAGCAAACGTGTTTGTTGAGGGGCTGCTTGTGGTATACCGTGTATCTGTCGGCTATGCATTGTGTTTACCTGCTTGGCTCGTCGGTCATCGTAAGGCGGCACGTCCATCACGTATTGATTGAAATAGTGATACCTAGTACGGCCTTAAATAGAGTGAGTGCGAATAGTGTGAGTGCAACAGATTCGCGATCTCCGGATATTCGATTCGAACAACCGGATGATCTTGCGCATTCGCAATCTTGCGCTCGTGTGTCACGATGGCCCGCTGCAAGGTACGCTCGCCGCCGACGTCGATGCGTGCATGGCAGCCGATGCAAGTAGACGCGTCCTGCAAGCAAGAGCTTGGACGAGCTGATGGAGCCGCTCCACCTCGCCCAATGCACCAAGTGCCACCGCCCGATCTACGTACGTCCATCGTCGTCCTCGACATCACCACGCCTCGAGCCTGGTTGTAGAAGGCCCACATCGAGCAGCACATGCGGCAATGCGGCTTGCGCCACCATGCGCCACCATGCGCGAGCGACGTCCAAAGTGCTACAACGCAGGTCGGCTTGCGAGGCGCAAGCCAAGCCGCCAACGCCACCCTCTCGGTTGCGCGAGAACAAGAAGCGAGCCCATCGCGGGCGTCCAACAGCGGTAGGTTGGCGACATGCTGGCGTATATGCATGCTCATGTGGATGCTAGACGGGCCCGCCTTCCCCGCGCTCTTGCCCATGCACGAGTTGAAGGCGCTGGCCTTTACGCCCAAGTCGCGGCCCCACGTGCATACGACGGTGCAATTCGAGGCGACGCGGCAGATCCTCTTTGGACAGAGCACAGTCGCCAAGCGTGCGCTGCCGCAGAGCAAGAAACCACCGACACCAAAGCGCCAACGCGTGGCAACACCCACCACCAAGTCGCCCAAGCCCACCATTCCTACCGTCCAGCCGGTGCCTTCAACGTCTCGAGCCACGAGCAGTGCGTCTGCCCAGCCAGCTACCAAAACCACTGCAAAATGTGGCAAGAAGCCGTCGCCGCGACCACAGAAGCCACCGGCGACAATCGCACCAGCCAGTGCGAGAGTGCCCAAGAAGGCACGGACCGTGTCGCCCAAGGTCATCCGCGTACCGCCGAGTGCGCCCCTCAAGGCGGTGCCGCCGTCCAAGGCCGCTTTGCCGCGCTCGGTCGGGCGGATCGTACCGCCGCCGCTGCTGGCCTTTCCCAAGCACCTGTCCTTCCTGCCACCACCGCCCGTCGTGGGCATACTGCCCCGGTTGCCATCCCCGACGCTGCCCCACAAGAAGACGATTCCGCGCACAACGTTTAGCCCCGAGCTCCACCGCGCGTACACGGCGCTCCCGAGCCTCTTGGCGTGGGGCCAGGACGACCCGGCCATGATCCAGATGCCACCGTCGCTCGCCGCGTCCTCGCCAGTTTCGACGCCGTCGTCGCGGTCGTCGGACCTTCTTCTCCAAGCACTCTTGTTGCAGGATACGTAGTGGATTTTGCATCTCAAAGCTCTTCCTCGGTGATCTCGACCCGCGTTTTCTTCTTGAGCTTCTTCTTGAGCTTCTTGGGCTTTGGCGACGCCTCGGGCGGCGACTCGATCGACTCGACGTACGTCTGGAAGGTCTCAATGTCCTTGTCCGTGGGGTTGATCTCGATAAATTCTTTGCTCATGCGCAGGGCTTCGTCTTGGATGTCGGCGAGGAGCCTACTCGAGATGGTGTCCAGGGCTGTACAGGTGTAGCCTACTGCTTGGAGATGGGCAAATCACGGTCGGGCTGGCGGTCCGCAATCGCGAGCGCGCCGTGGTAGCGCATGTAGCTCAGCGCAAGGTTCTTGACAATGTCTTTTTTCGGGTACGAAATGCAGTAAATCTACAAAATATACCAAAATTCAGCACGAGAGGGATCGAAGCGGCGGCTACCGGCATAGCAATGTGGTAGATCCCGTCGAGCGCGTGCACAATGTCGCGCATGCCAAAGAGGTAGTCGTCGATCTCGTCGAACGTCGTGTCCTTCCCGAGCTTGGCGGACGTCTCGACCCAGTGCTGCAGGTAATGGAGCGCGCGCTGGTAGAGCCCGTCGTAGTAGATTTTGCGCGCGACAAACTCCCACGAGCCGGACGGGTACTGCGCCGCGTTGGCCAACGGGAACGTCGTGTTGTACATCTTCCACACGTGCTTGACGTCCTTGTTCCACTTGGCGATCGACGGCATCCTACCCATGCGATAGTTCAATAATGTCGATGTAATATAGTCTACTTTTTCTGCTCGTGGATCTTCCAGAGCATGCCGTGCGGCGTGATGTAAAACCCGTTGTAGTAGCCGTCTTTGCCGAGCGCCGATTCGTTCTAGTATCAATGTATCAAGTGACAAACCTTGGGCCATAACCAGACGGACCACAGCGTGAAGGTCCAAGTACATGGAGGTCGGGAACGTGTACATGTTTTGCATCACAAAGCGTCGCATGAGCTGCTCAAAGCCCTTGCTGCCGCGCTCGGTCGAGACCCCTTGCAGCAGCTGCGGGAACGTTACCCCCGGGTACAGCGCATGCTACCAAATACAGCTCTCCACACGAACGACGACGATCGATTCGTACCTGACGCTGGTACCAGTGGTACGGCATGAGCTGGAAGTTGAGGTGCATCACGTCCGGTCGTTTCTGCTCGCACTCCTACCGCCATGGCTCATCGCTTGACGTCAAGCGCTCGCACGTACTTGCAGGTACCGGACGCTGTTCCAGTTGATGTCCGTGTACGAAAGTAGGATCGCATCGGGCGGAAGCGTGTCCAGGAGAGCGTTGCCGTAGGCTGCAATGACATTTCCTTTCTATAAAAGCACAGCCGTCGTCCCTCGTTCATTGGGATAGCGAGCATCGCACCTTGGCGTGGTTGGCCATCGGGTACTGGGCACTGAGCTGCATGTAGACAAGCCCGACGGCCGAGAGCACCGCGCCCGCCTTGGCGACAAAGGTGAACGCTTTGGCGTTGAGACTGGCGTGCATGCGGGCGAGGCCGAGCCCGAGGAAGATCGCAATCACCAAGTTTGGCTGCATCCAGAACCGGCTGTGGATCGCTCGCGGCAGGGGCTAGGGTAATGCGTCAACACTGACATGTTGCCCACTGTGGACGACGTACGAGGTACAGCGGCAGGTTCGAGAGCGTGTGGAAGCACACCACGTAGTGCAAGAGGCACAGCAAGAGCAAGTCGTCGAGCGCCTTTTGCTCCGGCGCGCTCCCGAGCGCCGCTTCGATCGGCGCGGCGTCACTCTGGCGGCGCTCCATGTCGGCCGGATCACTAGGGCTGTGTTACATAGATAGATTGTCAGTGGAGCGTACAAGCGCCAGAGGCCATAGAGTGCGAGGATAAAGCCAATGCCGATGAACTGCTCGCGGGCGTCTTGGAGGTACACGAGCATGCGCTCGATCGGAGTCTACCACCATCGTTGCGCCATGCTGCTGCGAGAGACGGGCGTACCTCGGTGAGATTCGTCTTGACGGGCGAGAGCTTGAACGTGCCATACTCTTCGCGCACGAGGTGGCGGAGGAGGCCCATCCAGGACGACGCATTGCCCCACGAGCCTTTCCGGGCCGTCGTCGACACCTCCATCATGTGCAAGTACGGCGTCAAGCCCACAAAGAACCTAGTACGATCGGCATTAGCAGCGGCCAAGAAGACGCAGAACGCACAAGGCCGCAAAGAGGACAATGTGGTAGAAGCGGAAGACCGACCGACCGTGCCAGAGCACCCAGAGCACCATCGGGATCTCAAACAAAACTAGAAAATTGCGAGTCCGATCCGACTTTCGATGGGACGTGGAACGTACTCGCCGTGTGCTGGTTGGACATGGCGAGGCCGCATGTGAGCGCACCGAGCGCGGCCACATATGGACTCTGCGTCCGGCGAAAGATGGCGCAGAGCACAAAGAGCAAGCCGCAGAGGAGGTTGTTGAGGGCAAAGACCTAGACGCGGATGCACAAATGACGCACTATGTGGACAAAGTACCTCGGCACCGACGGCGTACTCCCACGTCAACGGTGCGAATGCGTACATGAGCCCGGCGGCGATGGCCGCGAGTCCGTGCGTCTTGTTGCTGTAAAGGTAGACAAAGTGCGCAATGCAGCCGGCGGCCAGCGCTGCGTACGTCGCGTTCAGGACGTTGGCAATGTACGCGGGCGGGAGCGCCGACCATTTCTGGTCGAGAACTGCGCGCAAAAGGAGCAGGTACAGCGGGTATCCTGGCGGGTGCGCGACGCCGCCGCCGGCGATGCAGGCTTCGGCCACGAGCTCGCCGCTGTCACCGCCCGCGACGCTGGGAAAGGCCGTCGCGACGTAGGTGGGGAGCGCGACAGCAACCGTTGCCGCGGCGGGCCACAGATCCCGAAGACCGACGTTCGAGCCGAGCTTGGCCATTTTGCAACTGAGGATCTCGCAAAGTGCAATCCAAGCGGTTCAACCGTCGAAAAATGCCAAAATATCGAAGCCAGCGCAACCTTCGATATTTCGAAAGCGACCGACCGACAAGGACCGTCTGCCGGCTGAGCACCTCGTCGAGACTGCGTTGCCGGCCTTCTATAGTACAGCTCCACTGCACGCCGGCTACACCATGCGGGTCCGCTGCGAGCTGGGCCGATGCGATCAAGGACGCATTTCCCTGGTCTCAATACGACAACAACACAAAGGTATGGTTAAGAGCTTAGTGGTATCGGCCGTGAGCTGAGCAGTAGAGGCCACGCGCTCCAAAGGTCGCGCGACCTCGTTGAAGAATGGTTGGCGGTTGCGTGGGCGACCCGGAGGTAGGACGAGCGGATACGCGTACGGCGCCCTGGCATGCGGCGGCGCTGTCGACGCGGCTGGGCTAGGATGATGCACCTCGATGCTGCCAAGGCGTGGCGCTCAAGCAGCTCGGGGCAGGACGATGCGTTGGTGGACGCCTAAGATACGCATCCGGATACTGCTTGTGGAATTTCGGACATTTTGATTGGAACTGCATTCGATAAAAATCCAACCACAGAAATCCGACAAAAAGCTCATGGTACCGACGCGACGATCGCGATCTTCGGGCTCATGCGCCATGTAGAGCGTGAAGACGACAACCGAGGTCCGTGACATCACGCGCATCGAGCGCATCGGCGCCCACTCGCACATCCGCGGCCTTGGCCTCGACGATGCGCTCGAGCCGCGCAACGTCAGCCAGGGCATGGTCGGACAGACGGAGGCGCGCAAGGCCGCGGGCATCGTCCTGCGCATGATCGAAGAAGGCAAGATTGCTGGCCGCGCGATCTTGCTTGCGGGCAAGCCGGGCACGGGCAAGACGGCGATTGCGATGGGCATTGCACAGGCGCTGGGCGAAGACACGCCGTTCACGACGATTGCCGGTAGCGAGGTCTTCTCGCTCGAGATGAGCAAGACCGAGGCGCTCACGCAGGCGTTCCGCCGTTCGATTGGCATCCGCATCATGGAAGAAACCGAGATCATCGAAGGCGAAGTCGTCGAGATCCAAGTCGACACGCCGACGGGGTCGGTCGGCGACAAGGTCGGCCGCCTCACGCTCCGCACGACCGAGATGGAGACTGTCTACGACCTTGGCACCAAGATGATTGACCAGCTCACAAAGGAAAAGATCGAGGCCGGGGATGTCATTACGATCAACAAGGAGAGCGGCAAGATCTCCAAGCTCGGCCGGTCGTTCACGCGCTCCAAGGACTACGACGCGATGGGTCCGCAGACGCGCTTCGTCCAGTGCCCCGTACGCGTCCACGCTCTATCCTGCACGGTGTCTCATATGTGCAATCATGTAGGAAGGCGAGCTGCAGAAGCGCAAGGAAGTCGTCCATGTCGTGAGCCTCCACGAGATCGACGTCATCAACTCGCGCTCGCAAGGCTTCCTCGCGCTCTTTGCCGGCGACACGGGCGAGATCAAGGACGAGGTCCGTGAGCAGATCGACACCAAGGTCAACGAGTGGCGCGAAGAAGGCAAGGCGACGATCGTCCCGGGCGTCCTCTTCATCGACGAGGTGCACATGCTCGACATCGAGTGCTTCTCGTGGCTCAACCGCGCGCTCGAGTCGGACTTGGCGCCCGTGCTCATCATTGCGACCAACCGCGGCATCACGCGCATCCGCGGCACCAACTACAAGAGCCCGCACGGCATCCCGATCGATCTCCTCGACCGGCTCATGATCATCTCGACCAAGCCGTACAGCGAGGCGGACGTGCGCAAGATCTTGAACATTCGCTGCGAAGAGGAAGACGTCGAGATGACGGACGACGCCAAGGACCTCCTCACGCGCATCGCGATGGAGACGAGTCTCCGGTACGCGATCCACATCATCATGACGGCGTCGCTCGTGTGCACCAAGCGCAAGGGTACCGAGGTCGACGTCGCCGACATCAAGAAGGTCTACTCGCTCTTTGTCGACGTCAAGCGCTCGACGCAGTTCCTCATGGAGTACCAGCACGAATTCATGTTCAACGAGATCAACGACGACGTGGACGGCGACGAGGATGAAGACATGGCGTAAGAAGCAACCACCCATTCTGTAGTCTTGTCTTCTCTGGTTGCAGTTCAACGACAGCACTGTCCTCCTGATCGACGACATTCGAAGTAGAGTCGAGTAGCTTCTAGTCGAGTAGGTTCGCATCGTCTTGTGGGCGACAGCCTTGTCGGCGTGACGAGGCGCGCGTTGGGAGGTCGGGTAACCCTACCCCCAATCAGATCTGATGTTCGTTTTGAAATTGCATAAAAACGGTCGAAAGGGTTTTAGTACGTAAAAAGCGGTTTAACGCGTTTGAAGTGGATTAAACGTGTTTATGGAGACGTTTTTCGCACGTCAAAGAAGCGACTGACGTGGCGTGGGCGAGTTTTGAAAATCTTGCCGACGATGGAAGCTGCGCTGCAGACGATCGCGGCGATCGAGGCTGCTGCCAAGGACGGCCATGGCGGCCTCGCGCTCTTCATCATTGACCCGCAGGTGGACTTCCACCCGGGTGGCTCGCTGGCGATCCCGACGGCCAACGACGACGCCGAGCGCACCGCGGTCTTTATCCGCAAGCACATGGGTGCGATCACGCAGCTCGTCATTACGCTCGACTCGCACCAGCGCCTCCACATCGCCCATGGCGTCTTCTGGAAGGATCTGGACGGCGTGTCGCCGGCGCCGTTCACGCTCATCACGTCTGCGGACGTCGCCAGTGGCAAGTGGTCGCCGCGGGCGCCCGAACTGCAGGCGTATGCGTACGAGTACACAAAGGCGCTCGAGGCCGGCGGCCGCTTCACGCTCTGCATTTGGCCCGAGCACTGCATCATTGGCACGAAGGGCCAGGCGATCGTCGATGTCGTGCACGACGCGGCGCTTGAGTGGTCCCGCGTGAGCCGCCGCCCGATCACGTATGTGCAAAAAGGCAGCAACTGCTACACTGAGCACTACTCGGCGCTGCGTGCGGACGTCGAGCTGCCGCACGACCCCGAGACGTCGCTCAACGTCGGTCTCATTGACGCGCTCAAGACCGCGGGCGTCGTCGCCGTGTGCGGCCAAGCGCTCTCGCACTGCGTCAACTTTACAGTGCGCGACCTAGTGCAGCACTGGCCGGCGGGCCGCGCGAGCGACATTGCGATCTTGACCGACTGCACGTCGCCCGTCGCGGGCTTTGAGTCGAGCGGCGCCGACTTTATCGCCGACATGAGCAAGCTTGGCGTGCGCTTCCTCGACTCGACCAGCGACGCGCTCCTTCTACGCTCGCCCCGCAAGAAGGTCTAAGTCACGCGTTGCAAGCTGCGATTTCAATACATGCGCGTTCATTCGTCCTTGGTTCTTATGGCAAAAGGCGCGGCGCAGGCAGCTGGCGCGCCACCAGCACCCAGTCGTGCAAATGCATTTCGAGCAACCGCACGAGCACCGTGTTGGGGTCGTGGTGGCCGCGGACAGTCTCGAGCGTCCCGACAGCATCCTTCTTGAGGACGTAGTAGAAGAGCTTGCGGAAGAGTCCCCGGTCGGGCTGCTGGAAGAGCTTGACGCGGGCCTTGACGGCGTCGAGGGCCGTGGCCAGCGTCGCTCGCGACGCCGACGGGTGGCGTCGCTGGAGGTAAAGGATCTCGGCCTCCGACGCACGGTGCAAAACGCCAACAAGCTCGTCCTGCGGCCCATTCCACGGGATCGGCGCGGCCAACGCAGCGACGTTGGTGAGCGATGTCACGTGCGGTAGGCACGTCATCGACGACTGCAGTGCTTGCCACACCTCGTCGTGGCGGTCGAATAAGAGCTCGATGGGCACGCAGGGAAGCGACGTCGGCAGTGTTGGCGGGACGCCACGCTGCGTGTCTTCGGTGCGGTTGAGGAACCGTAGCAGGTTCACGCGCGCAGCGAACCCGTTGTAGTGCTGCACGATTGCCCGCAGTGCCTAGCCCAAAAATCCTAAAATGAAAATGAAACTAGGATTGCATACGACAATTGGCGAGGCAGCGCTATTGAGCGCGGCCGTCATGGCCTCGCAGAAGGCCGCTGCGTGGCGCCGTACAGCGCGGGGTCTAGACACCGTTCCTTGTGTGAGCTATTGCCATGTCGTAGGACAATACGTCGAGGGCGTCAGGTACGGCTGCATGTGCGCGCTGGGCTCCATCACGATACGCGAGGACGGGGAGGGTGCGGCTGCGAGGTACGCATGCACGGGCGTGAGCGCCGCCTAGAGCAGACTAGCGCCACGGACGACGAAAGGTGGAGCGTCCTACCTGAATGGAGATGTGCAAGCGATGTTCGCTTGACGCAGTTGTAAGCGCGACGACGGCGTCAAACATGGGCAGCATCGCTGCCCAGTCGTCGCTCTCGCGGGCGGCTTCGCGCAGCGCCGCAAACGCGAGCGCGTCCGCGTCGGCCTTGGCGACATCGGCGCCAAGCGCTTCCAGCGCCGCCATGACACCTGTCGACGTAGCATACATCAGCATGTCGTCTTACGAAGAACATACCTTCCGCCGCGCCCACGTGGTTGATCTGGGCGAGGACGACGAGGGCCGCTTGGAGCGTCGCCTGCGCCTCGTCCTGCATGGTGGCTTCGGCAACAAGTGACGCACGAGAAGGGGATCGGCCAGTCATCGATCTGCACCACCAAAATGCTACGTACAAAGAAGAACGTACGTCGGGCAATAGACAAGTGGTGCCTACGCAAGCGATCGTCGTCTCATATGAACGCGAGCAACCAGCCCAAAAGCCCAGAAGCCAGAAGCCCAGAAGCCCAGAAGCTATCTCCGGAGACGGGGTCCGTGGAGTCCTGTGGTGAAAACGAGGTGTGTGGTGCAACGCAGAGGGTCCAGGCTGTCATCAGTACCAATACCAGTGGGCCTTTGCGCCGCGATCGCATCAACATGGCTAAGCGGTCCAGTCGATTTCGGCTTGGATGCGGTCGAGAGGAACTCCCTGAGCGCGAAACGTGGGTGTTGGATCCTGCCAAGTCACGTCAAGCTGACGCTGGTGTCATAGAGCAGGTATTGCTGCAAAAGGGTTGAGTGTGGAAGCGGCTGTCAAGCGCAGAGAAGCAGGTTCGTGTCGGTGGCCGAGTAAGGAGAACGTCCGATAGAAAAATAGCTCCCACCAGCCCACCGCGCTCGGGATCTGTGCTCCTCTCGAGGCCGCGCCTCCACGGACAACAACTGCATCCATCCTACAGGCATTGTTGCGAGTTCATTGAGTGGCAAGCAGGTTGAAGCGGCGTCGTTGCGCGCCGAAAGTGGCCAATCACAGCGCGAGATGAGCTGGCCAATCCACGCGCGATCGGGCATCTTTTTGGACGAATTACTACCAATGCGAGCTTATCGTTTGATAATAGTATCCGGCATTCTATCCGGATGCCGGGCACTAGCCAACAACGGCCCATCAATAGTGGCATGGCGGTGTACTACTCGATCGCAGTCGCCCGCGCGGGCGAGATCGTGAGCCGCAGCCTGGTCAAGGCCGAGACGGACACGACGCTTCGGTCTCTCTTTGGCATGTACGAGGGCGGGAAGCACGCGATCGGCTTCATGGACCCGGCGGTCAAGGCGGGGACGCGCACGGCGGTCTTTGAGCAGCACGACGCGACGATGGACCTTGTGGACCTCGACATGCCGATTCGCCTCGTTCGGGAGATCTGCGGCGACGTGACCAAGTTCCTCTTCCAGGCGGCGCCTGCCATCGTCCCTGCCCCAGCGCTATTGCCGCCGCCATCCGCGCCTGTCGTTGCCGCCACACCGCAGCCAGTTCCTACTGCGCCCAAGCCCAAGCCCGTCGCGGCTACGCGAGGCCGCAAGCCGCGCAAAGCCGTGGTCGTCGACTCGTTTCTGCGCGCGAGCGATTTGAATCGGATTGGTGACGTGACTGCCAAGGCGCCGACCAAGCAGCCAGCGTCGCGATACCGTGCGCCAGCTCCACGCATCGCCGAGGGGCGCACAGCATGCACGACCGCCGTCCTTCCAGATGCGTCGACCTCGGCGTTGGCACGTGCGACCGTCGTCCACCAGAAGCATGCGATGACGCCCCTCAACAAGAACGCGCTGGGTCGTATTCTCGAAGCCGTCAAGGCCAACAAACCATCGAGTCGTGCTGTGTCACCGCCCAAAGCCCCGCGCACGCGTCCCCACTACTTCAACGTCGCCCCTCCTTACGACGAGGACGACGACAATGACGACAATGACAGTGACGCTAGTGTCGCCGACGACGACGACGACGACGATGCGATTGAAGTCGTCCAGGCTCCGGTTACCAAGCGCGCGTCCCGTCGTCTTGCGCCGTCAAGCCTCGCGTCCGCCGAGCCGCCTCGGCGCGAGCTCCGCATTCCGCAAGTGGTCATGACGTCCATGCCCCGGTCCCGCACGCAGCGGCTGCCCGCGCGCCGCGCTGCGCTGCGCAAATCAACCTCAGCACTGACCGAGATGGTCTTGTCGGCAGACGGCGCCGTCGTCACGGGTAATGTTCTGGGGCGGTCGTCGGACGTCGACGCGTCACCTCGCCGGCCGCCGCCACGACGGCCCACGCGGCGGACGAGCGCGTCGCAAAGCCCCGAGAAGGTGCTGCCGCTGCGCACGTCGACCCGCAACAAGTCGATCGTTGAGATCTCGAGCGACGACGAAGCGTGTTCTGTCCCGTCACCGTCCTCGACTACGCGTCTGAGTCTGAGCACAGGAACCCCGACCAAGCGCCCCGACACAGATATGACCACTGCATCGCCCGCGTCACACAGGGAAGCGGCAACGCCGACGAAGCAGCCCAGTCCGCTTCAACCACAGACGCCGCCGCCAGTCGACGTTGCAGAAGCCAATGCGACGCCAACCCTGCCGGATGTCCCTGATGTCACCACGGCTAAAGCTGGTCCCACGGGCACGCCAGAGATGGCGCGGAAGAAGCGGCTCTTGTCGCTGGACGACACGGTCGAAGAGCATGTACACGATGTGTCGCCGCCTGCCAAGCGCCGGCTCTCTTCCTTTGGTGACGTTCCGTCGTCACCTGCCACGCGCCACGTCTCGTCGTCGAATGACGCCGAGTCGTCATCCAATACGGCGGACGAAAATACAATGACCGAGCCGCGGTCCGTGATTGAAGACGAGCTGGCGACGCTGCTGCACGAAGCGTCGGCCGTCGAGCTCGTGCAGCTCCGCGAAGCCAACCCGAACGACCAGGCCAACTTTCTCGGCGAAGAGCTCAACGAAGTCAAGCGCCACGTGCAGCTGCAAAAGACTTCAGCGGGTCTCTATCAAGTTGCGTTCACGAAGGCAAGTCACGCCGACATTGCGCCGCACGAGAACCCAAACGTGGTGTTGACCAACCTCTTTATGAGCCACGACGACGACTGGTCCCGCGTCGCGACCCTCGTGAGTCTCGGGCGCGTCCTGCGCGCCGCCCCGTAGGAACTTGTTGTATTATCCAAAGGGATCGGTATCGATTATCTAATACTTGCTTTGAATTGTTGTTGCTACCGTGGATAGCTCGGTGATCCAGTCGGCTTGGTATGGCACTTGACATATTGTATTGTATCATGTTCAACCCCAACTTTCGGGCTTGATGCACTCGTCGGAGCGTCTTGTTGGCGGCGTTAGAGTTGCCTAAGCTCTTATGCTCTTCTGATCCAAGAAAGGTCCATGGAGTACTACTTACTCCACCTCGGTGGAAGGAACGAGGAATGCACGCTTGATGATGGCGCAGCTCATGGCTACGATGGGACTCGAAGCGTCCGGTGCAGACAATGTGTCCACAGTAGGCAAGACACGATGTGATAGACCAACGATATATGAGTTCTTAGTGCAGCCACTGGTTGTCGTCGTCGTCGTCGTCCTCGGTGAGCCCATACTTGCCGAGAATCGCGTCGATGGTCTTGTCTTGCTGCGTCGTCGAGAGCGCGCGGCGCGTGCGCACGTACGTTTTCGTCCACTTGCGCTTCCGACAGAGCGCCGTCGGGTGCCCCTTGGCGCTCTTGTACCATGGCCCGTCCCAGGACGCGGCGTAGAGCCAGCCGTCGGGACAGAGGTCGTCGTCGCAGTATTCGTTATTGCTTTGCTGGCGCGGCTCGTGGAGCGCAATGACCCACCCCACGGGCGACGTGAACGCGGCCGGAATCACGTGCTCGACGGTCGTTTCCATCTTGGAGTGGCCCCAGCCCGAGATCGGCCGCCACTTTTGCGTCTCGACCATCTCGTCGACGATCTCGGCCTGGAGCGACGGGTCGGTGTAGGGCTCGAGCACCTGGACCGTGACGAGGAGGACGCTGTGCACCTTCTGGCTGCTAAATTCGTCAGGCACGTCGAGCGGCCACTCGAGAGACCGCATGGTCTTGTCCATCTCAAACTGGGCCAAGGCGAGGACGGTCGAGCCAATGAGGTCGTCGGCGTTGAAGAGGTCGTGGTCGTACACCTCGACGACGAGCGCGCTGGCGTACATGGCGTCTTGCGTGAGCACAAACTCAAAGACCTCGGCGCCCCAGACCGGGTTGAGCGTCGACGCAATGCAGCTGCTCGTGAAGCGCTGGTCGCCAATGCGGAGGACCACATATGGGTCGCTCTTGCCGCGCGAGATGCCGCCAAAGGTGTAGTCGGCGGCCGCAAGGTCTCTCGCCGCATGCAGCGTCAGGCGCAGGCGGCGGTCGGTCGGCGCAGCGTCCGTCGTCGTCATCTCGTCGATGGCAGGTGGCAGGCGCTTCGAAAGTCGCAGCCGCGGGGTAGAGTGTCATTCGATATGCAATTGTGTTTATCCATAATGTCTCAATATTATCAAGTCGCGAATATCAGGATCTGTGCAATCAACAAACACGAATCGATCCCAGATCGCGCGATACTATCACTGCCAGCGAAATGACACCACTGCAGACTGCTCTTTGAGCTGAAAGCAGATACAAGGTCCACTATGTGGCGAGAGCGATCGCACCTTGGATCAACGTGGGTCACTTTATGAGACGAAATTGAGATATTTACTCAATACGAGACGGTTGTGGTATATCACTTTGATACAATTGGCAAGAGGTTCCGTGACAAGCATAAATTCGCAGCTCGGCGGCGATATCGAGAACCGACAGGGTTGTCGAGTAGCTTTGCAGCGGCTCCATTCTGTAGCTGGTTGAGCTACCTGGTTGATTACCTCAGCTATCCCTAATGCCTAGAAACGGTTGATGGGCCCTTGATTTTGCTAGTCGCTGTTGCTCATTCTTCACCGCGACCAAGACGGCCATGGGCCCTGCAACGCTGTATATTTTCGAGCTCGGCACACCTGTTCAAGGCGTCTGGCTGATACATGAGATGCGTCCTGATGTAGTTAGTCGATTCGCACATGGCCGCCGAGTTAGTCGACTGAGGATCTCACGCGGCCGTTGCGCATTCGAACACTACGTGGCGACATCTCCTGTCGTCCGCTAAAAATACTGATTGGCCAATTCGTCGAAAAGCATGGTCTTTTTAGCCAATAAGAGCGCATCGCGCTGTCGCTCGATCTTCAGCAGTCTTAATATAGCGGATGTCGAGGTTCCTGCGGGCAGCGACGCATGCTGGCAAGACGGGCGTCGGCTTCCACGTGCAGGTCACGCTGCACCGCCTGACGACCGCGGACCCGGAGCTCAAGGAGGCCGAGGGCATCTACGCGGTCGCGACCCGCGGCCAGCACAAGGTCAAGAGCGCCAACGCCAAGGTCGGCGCCTTCCGTAGCGACACGGCGAGTCGCCATGCGTCCTGGACCGACGAGGTCATGAGCCTGCACGCGACCATGTACCGCAGTGGCAAGGCGTCCGGGTACCAGTCCAAGCTCATGACCATCGAGTTGGTCAAGGCCAAAGGCGACGGCCACCTCGCGACGTTCGAGCTCGACCTCGCCACGTACATCTCGGATAAGAACGGCAGCACGAATGCATGCGATGCGACGCTGCAGGCCAAGAAGAGCTGGGGCAATGCAACACTCATGGTACGAGGTCGTGCTCACGAAGTGGGGAATGCAGTGGCTCTTGTAGGTCACGATCACGAGCAACCTCGATACTGAGAGGTATTCCGTCCCATTCTGCTGTACGCAAAGGCTGAGTCGAGATGCTCTGTAGGCCCGTGACCGCCTCGACTACATCGTCCGCGCTTCATGTAGTATCGTAATGTCGCCGTACGCAGCGAATTCACGGCTGCTGCATGTAGCATGACCACGAGACGTCCGAGTGCGAAGACAGCCAGGTGTCGCCCGAGAAGCGGCGCTCGTCCACGTCGGCGTCGTCATCACCCGACCGGCGGTTGCCATCAACGTCGTCGCACATCATCACGACGATCCCGGAAGCGACGACAACAGCGAGCAATGAGGTGCATCGCAAGCCATTTCCAGGGCCTTACATCGGCATGTAGGAGGCCAATGCGGTCAACTTTGCGACGCAGATCATCAAGTACGACCGTACGACCAAGGAGCTGCAAGCGAAAATCGAGTCGCTCTCGCAGCAGCTGTCGGCCGCCAAGGAGCAGTACAAGGTGTCGATTCAAGACGTATGTTGCTTCCTTGTGTGTATGTTCGAAGCGATCGCATCTGACTAGGTCCTCGAGTGGAAGACAAAGCACAGCCAGCTAGAGTCGTCACAGTCAACCCTCCATGACGAGCTACAGAGTTTACGTGAGAAGAAGGGAAAAGCCGAGAAGGAGGTCGTCTTGCGCCGTACCGAGCTGCAAAACACGCTCGAGTCGAGCTCCCGCGTCAACGTCGTGCAGCTTGAGCGCATTCGCCACCTCACGAGCGTCAACGAAGACTTGAAGGCCAAGGTACACGAGCTCCAGACTGCGAACGACGCCGCGCAGGCCCAACTCCGGGCGTTGCAAGCCGAGGCCAGCCCGCCACAAGAGCGCTCGTTGGCGTCGTGGACCGACGGCCAGAACCGCGAAACAACGGTGTTAGCTGCGCAGTACCAGACGGCGCCAGCAGCGATCGCGAGCTCCCCCGACGTCATCGCCAACACGGTCGCTGAGCAGGTCGTGCGCCTCCAGAGCGAGAACCGGTCGCTGCACGAGTCGACCGCCTCACTCCAGCGCGACGTCGAGAATTTGGAAAACCAGGTGCGCACCAAGTGTCGGGTACTCCGTCTCACGGGGAGGAAGTAGCTCTTTGAACGCAGCTCGGAGCTGCAGCATGTGCTCGAGCTGCATGCCCATGCGACCGCAGCGTTGACGCTCAAGACGACCGAAGTCGAACAGCTCCAAGAGGCGCTTCGTTGCGACGACACTGCGTCACGTCCGGACGGCGGCGACGACGCGCTTGTCGCGATGCTCCGGAGCAACATTGACGAGCTGCAAGACGAGGTCACAGCACTCCAGTTCAAAAACAAGAGCCTCCGCGAAGGCAAGTCCAAAGCCGAAGAAGAGGTACATCTTCTCGACCTCTTGATGGGACTCTCAGTCACGTCGACAGCTGCTCAAGTGCGGTCGGCACGCCAGTACAACGTCCTCGACGAGCGCCGACGACGAGGTAGAAACGACGAGCGAGGCAAGCATGCAGTACATCGCACGGTGTAGGTGCAGCACAAGGACGCCCAGATCCTCGAGCTCTCGAGAGCTGCAGCAACGACGACAGCGCGCCTCGCGGCGCTGGACGCCGAGCTCGCGGCGCTGCGAAAAGAGCTCGCTGCCGAGAAGGCCAAGCCGCCACAAGTCGTTCAAGTCCGCGATGTGCTCGGTGCGCACTTTCCGAGTACGATGCCACCCCAAGACATGGAGCGGGCGCGGGCGTCGTCGCAGCACACGGTGGCGTCCACCAACGTCGACGCCGACGTTGCGTACCTCAAGCAGCAAGTCCGGGAGCTCAAGGACGCCAAGACGTCGACCGACCACGAGGTTTGGTTGTTGCAACCAGGATCGCCTAGCAGGGATGCTTCTGTAGCTACTGGAGACGCGCCAAGAGCTGGCGAGCGCTCTCGAGCTCCACTCGCGTATGCAAGCCGACAGCCAGCGCCAGCTCGATGACCTCCGGCACACCCTGGACGCGCTCGAGACTGAGAAAGCAACGACATCGGCCGAGGTGCGGCGGCTCACGACGCGGACCGCCCAACTCGAGGGCGAGATCGACACTTTGACGGAAAGAGTATGCGTCTCTCGAAGCCCATCGATTCTGAGAGCTGACTAGGTGGCGTCGGACACCCAAGAGAAGCATGCGCTGGCCGCGTCGTTGGAAGCGCTTGCAAGCGTCAACGAAGAGGTGACGCATGCCAAGGTCCAGGAAGCGACAGCGCAGCTGGCCATGGCCATCTCTGGGCTGCACGCTGAGCTGCAAGTGCTCGCAGACGACAACGAACGGCTCCAAGCCGAGGTAGAGCGCATTATGACGGTGCACGTGCCACTGTATATGGGCTAGCTGCGCGTCGAGGTGCAGCGCAACAGCGTCGCGAATGAAGTGAACGCTCTCAAGACGCAGATCCTCGAGATGAAGCAAGAGACAAAGCATCTGCAATATGAAGTCCGCTTCGAAATCGTCAAAGGTGATAACAAGCATTATCCCTAGCTCTCGGAGAAGACGGCCGAACTCGAGCGCGTCGTGTCGGATGCTGACGCGTCTGCACTGCACGAGCGGACGCTCGAGTGCTCGGCGTTGACAGCACACGTAGGGTTCATGTGTACCTTCTGGTGCATTTACAGGCCGTGTGTAGGTGGCGACCCTCATGCAGCAGCTCGAGGCGTACCAGGCGGCCGGCCAAACGCAAGCGACACCGACCGCGGACCATGTGGCGAGTCTCGAAGCCGAGGTTGGTATTGCTGCTTACACACGGCGTGCAAACGTGCATGTGTAGCTCTCGAGCTGCCAGGCCGAGCTGCAAGCGCTGCAAGAAAAGCATGTGAATGCACTCATGAAGGGCCGCGGATCCTCGTCCAACTCGGACGACGATGATGACTCGGACGACGAGAACGATGATGGTGATACGACGGGCAGCCGGTCGTCGGTCGTGCAGGTCGACTCGAGCACCGACGTCACGGCCACACTCGAGAGAAGGTCCGCTTCTGCGAGCGCCGACGAGCTCGCCGAGGTGCGGCGCGAGGTATATATGACCACCCCGAAGCTCTTTTTTGTATCGGCGCCGCCCCTAGTTGGCGGTGTCCCGTCTTGAGATCCAAGAGCTGCAACAGGAGCTCGAGATGGCGCGTGCGTCCACGACGACGTCACCACAAGTCGCCGCCCTTGAAATGGAGCTGCAAGCAGCAAATGAAATGGTAGCCATGCGCTCGAGTCTCAGATCTGATGTGCTGAGGCACTAGCTGCTCGTCAAGGCGGACCGCATTGCCACACTCGAGGCGGCGGTCGCAGCCGCGGAAAAAGAAGCAGCTGAAGCCCAGGTACAAGGCAAACACCGGCCGTTGCGCGCGTCTCACTCGGTTGCAGGCAATCGATGGCGCGTCGCTTCGACGTCGGCTCGCCGAGTTGGAAGACGAGCTACAGACGACCAAAGCTTCGGTGCGGCGCCATACCGAGTCTCGTAAATGATATTCAACCGACGATAGCTCGCGACGGCCCTCGATGCCGTGCACGACGGGGACTCGGACGACGACGACGACGAGACAAATGCGACGACGCACCTTGAAACCGAGTTGACGACGGCCAAAACCACGGTACGACACTGCTGTCCAACTACATGTCATGTTGGATATGGTATGAGTAGCTGGCAACCGTGACCGCCGAGCTGGACGCCGCCAAAGCCACCAACGACGCGCTGGAAGCCAAGCTGCACCAGTCGTCAGTTGTCTCGGCCGACGAGTGGCACCAACTCAAGGCCGAGAACGAGTTTTACCAGACCGAGCTCATTGCGACCAAGCTCAAGCTCGCGCAGCTCCAAGAGACTGTCGACGATGTTTCGGCCGAGTTCAAAAAGACCGAGAAGGAGCTCGTGCTACTCAAGATCCAAGGCGCAGAGGCCGCGCTCAAGACGGCCAAAGGCAAGAAAAAATAAGACCCCGAATAAGATCTTAGCGCGGTGAAGTCGTGCCGTTGTATGCATGCACGGTGCCATTGGCGAGCGTGAGCGTGCCTTTGCCATGGAGCGACACGTGGTTCTGCGTCCACTCGCCTTGAAAGACGTCGCCGTTGCCAAAGACGCAGACACCCCAGCCGCTGCGCACCTAGCCCACGCACTTGATACTTTGATCCTTTGATACAGTCGCCTACCCCGTGGACCCAAGCGCCGCTGTAGACGTCGCCGTTGGCGTACTTGCAGACGCCATGGCCGTGCGGGCGCATGTTGACGCACGCCCCGTCATAGACACTGCGCGTCGGAAACGTGATCGTCCACGGTCCATCGACAGGCGCGTCCCACTGCCAGACGCCGTCCTTGGTCGTGCCGTCGGCGCGCGACAGGACACCGGGGCCGTGCTTGACGTCAGCGCGCCACGTACCGACAAACGTGTCGGCAGATGTCACAAGCGTCCCGTCGCCGTCGCGCACGTTGTGAGCAAAGCTGCCCGTATAGACGTCGCCATTGGCATACGTGAGCGTGCCGACACCGTGCTTTTGCCCAAGTGCAAACTCGCCTTGGTACTTGGCGCCGTCGGCGCTGGTCAACGTCCCGACTCCGTGCTTCAAGCCGTGTTCGAATTCACCACTGTACACGGCGCCGTCCGCGGTGGTGTACGTGCCCGACCCGTGGAAGGCGTTGGTGCGCCACGCCCCTAGACATAGTCTCCAAACAAACTTCATTTCCAAGTTGGAGGAGACCCGTGTAGGTCTCGACGCCGCGCAAGATACACTTGCCGAGGCCATTCCGAGTGTCGTGCACCCAAGCGCCGTCGTAGACAAAGTCGTGGGCACCGCTCGTCAAGACACCTAAACGGTTTGGATCATTTGGATTCTTTGGATCGTTTGGATCGATTTTGGATCGATTTTGGATAGGTAATACCGTGTCCGTGGCGGCGGTCCATGTCCCACATGCCGTCGTACGTGTGCTGTGACGCTTTGGAAATGTACTTGCCGCGGCCGTGACGCTTGCCTTTGCGCAGGCCACCGAGGTACGTATCGCCATTCGGATACTCGATCGTCGTTATTGCCGACGTCGGCGCGTCATCCTGCGTCTCGTCGTCTTCGGTCTACGCCAAACGTCCGAACTCTCCACCGTCAACACGCAAGCACAACATACCAAGGAGATTTCGACGTACACCGGGGCATCGCCGGTCGTCGGCTGGCCATTGCGCCATTGCCCATGAAACGTGGCGCCGTCGTGGTTGACAAAGATACCGCGGCCTTGCCGGAGGCCGTCGACCCAGTCGCCCGTGTACACGGAGCCATTCGCGTACCGGCACGTTCCTAGCCTGCACGTCCATACGGGCTAGTTCGAATACGCAGCCAACTACCGTTGCCCCACGGGCGGCCTTGCTGGAGCTCGCCGCTGTACTTGTCGCCGCTGGGATACATAAGGATCCAGTCGTGGCCGTGGCCTTGCACCATCATATTGGCGCGCCAGAGTCCTTCTCTCGACTCTTTTGAGGCGCCAGAGGTGGCTTTGCCAAACCCTTGTCGCAAATCGTGTTGCCAGTCGCCGTCGTAGCCGTCGCCAGCGGTCACGTCTGCGTGGATTCCTTGGCCGTGGCGCTCGCCACCAACAAACGAGCCGGCGTAAACACTGCCATCGCGGTACCGGAGCGTGCCGACGCCATCAAAGCGCCCGATGGCCCACTCGCCGCTGTACGCTGCAAACGCCGCGTCCGACGAGTAACTTGCCTTGCCAACGCCGTGCGGCCGACCGTTGAGAAACTCGCCGTCGTACACAAAGCCCCGGTTGGCGTCGACGAGGTGTCCGAGGCCGTGAAAAGCATTGCTCTTCCACCGTCCCTTGTAGACGAAGCGGTCGCCGTCTTGGAAGAGCCCGTCCCCGCAGCGCGCATCGTGAGCCCAGGACCCGGTGTACGTGCCCTGGTGCGTGCTACATGTACTGCCTTAGCGCCCATCACAGAGTTTCAACGCGTTGTACGTAAGGACGCCGGTGCCGTGGCGCTGATCGTGAACCCAGTCGCCAACGTACGTGTACCCGGTGGCAGCTACGGTGTACGTGCCCCGGCCGTGGCGCTTTCCGTCGAGAAACTCGCCGACGTACGTATCACCCGAGTGATACGTATACCGGCCGTGCCCCGCGACCGGCGCCGGTGGCAGCGGGGCGGTCTCGAGCGACTGCGTTTCGCGCCACTTTGTGTAGTTGTATGTTTGATACCACGCATCGAGCCAGTCGGCGTGGTGCTCGACGTCCAGCGGCGTCAACGACGAGCGCCACACAAAGTCCGTGAACGACGACCGGCGCGGCTTGGGGTTCGCGACGGCTTTAAGAAGCGCTTCGAAGAACTGCGTTTGGACTTGGGCGACGACCCACGCGTCGCTGCCAACGTACTCGATCGGCGGCAACGCCTCGCTCGACGACGAAGCTACCGGGCGCTTCAGGATCCAACGGGCTTTTGAGAGACGTACAGGCAACCGTGGTCGCGAGGGTGGCGCCAAGGGCTGTCGTGTCAGGCCCAACGTCAGCCGCGATGGCGCCGCGCTCCGTGTGCCAGTGTACGCGCCCAGCGTCGAGATCCACGATCGCGTCGATCGGCGGCGTGTCGGCCATAGCCGTAGTACTGCAGAGAAGCAGCGCCAGGGGATCGCACGAGCCAACGAGACACCCGCCAACGTGCGACGAGAGCACCGATGCGAGATGCGCCGAGCCAAGGTACGGCTACGCTTCTATCGCACCGAGGAGCAGTAGCAACGATGTCTGTACCTGCAGGTAAAACGGATCATCATCGTCATTGGCAAGGACGAGAGGCAGCCCAAACTTGGTCCAGCGATACGCCGTCGGCGCCTCACTAGGAGGCGCATTGGCGTAGCCACCTGGAAAGAGCGAGAGGAGCGCTAAAATGGCTTTGGAGACGCGCGCGGGCGACGTGGCGAAGAAGACGATGCGGCCTTCGATCAAGACGAGCCGAAGCAGCGGCAGCAACGACGACGACAGTGTCGTCACAAGCTCCCGGAGCGGCCACGCCGTGGCTTCGGCAAGCGAAGGCGCGAGCGCCTGCAGCGCGTCGTAGAGCTCGATCACGCACGTATAGTCATCCGTGCAAGTCTACGCTTTACGTGTCGACATGAAAGAAGCAGAATGCGATGTCTCGACCTGCTCAAAGAATGAAAAGGCGGTGGCTTCGAGCGACGCGATGAGCGAATCGGTGAGCCGAGTGGTCAAGAGCACGACGACCTGGATGCGACCCGCGATGACGCGGCTGCACGCGACGCCGTGCCACGTTGGCGGTACCCAAAAAAAGTACGTCGACGATGCCATCGCTGGGGGTGGGCGCACGAGGCTCGGGAGCCGCGCGCGCAGCTCGTCGGTCCAGAGGTTCGAGGCGGAGGCGTCGGTGACGTCATTTGGCCCGTCCGACGGCGGGTACGACCACTCCAGCGCCGCGTGGGCGTCGCTGTAGGTGGCGACCGCCAGCAGCACCGACACAGTCATGATCGTGGTGTCTTGTCGAGTGCAATGTGAAACGGTTCATACTGCAGCGGGTGCAGATCGACTGCGCAAACCTGTATCAGAGACATGCATCGAGTCGCATTTGGCAGCTCGAGATGCGAGAGCGCCTGCGAGAGAGCCAGCACCACCGCGGCGCAAGCATCGATGGCACTGTGATAGGCTAGGATTCGGGGTGATGGACCAAGATGAACTGGGAGGCGGCGATGGGCTTAGCTGTGCGCGAGCTCATCGAGCGGGTTTGGCTTCTTGCTTGCGCAAGGCCGGGACGTGGCCCACTTGACAAAATGACGGACGCGTGGGAGAAGATGCTCCTCGAGTGTGCGCTCGAAGAGCTCGAGACCAACTACGCGGCCAAGAAGGTCGCGCTTCGCGAGGCGCACGACGCCAAGCAAATCGCCCAGCAGGCCCAGCAGGGCATCTACACCGAGGGGCTTGCGACGTACAGCCACATGAAGCAGAACCAGCTCGACGAAGCCCAGACGCACCAAGCCGATGCGCTTGACAGCAAGCAGACGGACCGCGTCAGCCGCGAGCAAGTGGTCGAAGGCGAAGACTGGCGCCTTCTGCGCCAAGAGCGCGATGAGACGGGCGCCTCGGGCACCACGTTTGCGCGGGCGCGCAGCCGCTTGAGCGATAAGCACAAGGTGCTGGCCAGGGCTGGCGCGGAACGGGACGCCGCGGCGCGCGAGGCCTTGGGGCACAAGCACCAGCAGCAGCGCGCGGCCCAAACCGAGCTCGCGACCAACGAGGCCAGTATTGTTGAAGACACCCAGCGCACCGAGCGCCAGTCGCTCGCCAAGCGCTGCGACGATGCCATGCAGTCCCTCGATGCCAAGTACGTTGGTGACGTGCGAGGCGCCACGAGTGCGCCCAACGCCGAAGCGTACGTCAAGGCCGCGTGCGCGCCGTGACCGTAGTCCTATCCGCTGCTAACACGATCTACTTTTCAGAGTCCGCCAACCCTCTACTGCTTTCTGGGTGGGTTGCCAGACTGGGCTCGGGACGCAGATTCTAGTCTGGTACTCGTCTCGATCGAGTGGGAAGATACAATCCAAATTACTTTCAGACAGGATCATGTTATGGTCGGAAGTCGTCGGCTACATCGTTGTGCAAGGTCGGGCAGGAAGACATTTAGTTTTCCGTCGAGAACTTGTACGTGACGTGGCACTTGCCGCAGTAGTGGCGGTCAAAGTGCGTGGCCATGAAGACACCGGCGCCGCACTCGGGCGACGGGCACTCCTTCTTGAGGCGCTGGATCTGGCCGTTGTCGTTGACCTTGTAGAACTTGAGGACGGCAAGCTTGACGTTCTTGTGCTTGCGCTTGACCTTCTTCGGCTTGGTGTAGTTCTTCTTTTTGCGCTTCTTGCCACCACCACGCAGGCGGAGCACGAGGTGAAGCGTCGACTCCTTCTGGATGTTGTAGTCGCTGAGCGTGCGGCCATCTTCGAGCTGCTTGCCGGCGAAGATGAGGCGCTGCTGATCCGGCGGGATGCCTTCCTTGTCCTGGATCTTCTGCTTGACGTTGTCGATCGAGTCCGAAGGCTCGACGTCCAACGTGATGGTCTTACCCGTCAACGTCTTGACGAAGATCTGCATGATCAAATTCTACAGAGAGACTCCCAATGAGATCTTAGCTCGTACAACTACGGAAGCCAAAGCTTCCGATCCTCATTATACAAACGCACCTCACTGAAAGTAATTGCAGAATGACCTCCGACGCCACTTTGCACCAACCGCGCTTGCCGCGCCAGAACCAACCACTCGCGGCTGGCCAATGGCATCGCGCGCTGGCCGTAAAACGCACCTACTTCCGAAATCAGAGGGCGCATTGCGGTGCGGCTTCTGCAATACAGGTGCGTCTATCGTGATAAAGGTGCGCTTTGCAGCCGACCAAAATGGCTCGCTTGGACCTGGCCAGGAACACCTCTGTCAAGCTCTCAAGATGGCATACTTAGTAGCGCTAGATCGTCGTAGGCATAGCACGCACAAGGTTGTTGTTGGCTGCAGTTGTCATGCGAAAAGCATCCTAGTATAGTGTCTACTACGCGGGACGTGCTGCGGGGTTGGCAAGGCTGTTGGCCACGCAAAGGACAAGATCCTACTTGGGACTAGATACTACATTTTGACGAAGCGATGCAGCGTTGGGCTTGGTTAGCGCCGTATCGGTGATGGTGTGGTAGCTCAGGCGTGATCAGCTCCAGGTGTGGTGGTTTCCTGATGAGAGAAGTGCTGATTCGCTGTCGTCGTGCCTTGGTGGTGGGTGGGCTTGGATCGGCAGTTGAAAACCTACCTACTCTACCTACTCTTCATCGCACGCAATCTCTTGCTTGAAGTACGGCGTGGGACTCGGCGTTCGACGTCTTCGGTGCGAGACAGAACCAGTTTTACCGATTGTCCAGCATGGGGGTCTCGCTTACCAGCACAGCTTGATGCCTCCTGCATAGCTCTCCATTCTGCAATCGTCTCTGCTATGACCACCATGAATGTGCTCTGGTCGAGCTTCGAGGTGTGTCCTCCATGCATCTCGACGAAACCGCAACGAGTATGTCCTAGGACCAAGCACTACGCGCGGCCATTGCAGTCCTCGGCGGCTGCCGCTGGGAGCAAATTGCGCGCAGTTGCCCACGGCGGTCGGCACTCGCATGCAAGCAACGCTGGAAGATGCTGCAGACCCAAGGCGCCAACAAGCGGGCGTGGAACTCGCGCGAAGACAGTGTGTTGATGGCGCTTGTCCGCCAATACGGTCCAAGCAGGTGGGCGCTAATCGCGTCGCACCTTCTGCACCGCAACGCCAAGCAGTGCCGAGAGCGCTGGCACAACCAGCTCGACCCGACCATTCGCCACACCGAGTGGACCGGCGCCGAAGACCGGTTGGTGTTGCTGCGGCAGCACGAGCTCGGCAACAAGTGGTCTGCGATTGCCGACGAGATGCCGGGCCGGTACGTACATCTACCGCAGCTCCCATTCTCACAGTGTCTTTGCCAGTACGGACAATGCCGTCAAGAACCGATGGCACGCGTCCATCAAGGTAGCGTCGTCGCCTCGTCCACCTACGCTTTATGTGGACGGCTGTGTCTAGCCCAAGCGCGCGACAACGACGCCAGGAACGACCGTGCTCTTCGCCGACTGGGCGCCGCTCGCGGCCGTCGACTGGACTTTCTTTTCGTATCAATAAGATCTTGAAACAGTGTATTTCCAGCGTTGGACAATGTGGGAACTGTGTGGCCAGTACCGTTTCGGGTTTTGAGTTTCGAGTCTTGAGCTTCGAGTTTTGAGTTTTGGGTTTCGATGCCACCGGCGCACGTTCAGCCGCCGACGGTCGAGGTCGTCTTCCTCGGTACGTCGTCCATGATGTCGTCCGCAACGCGCAACGTCTCGGGCATCGGCGTCTCGATCGATGGCGACTGCTGGATCTTTGACGCTGGCGAAGGCATTGGGCTCCAGCTCTCGAAAGCGTCGCTGCTCTTGAGCGCCGTCTCGCGGATCTTTGTGACGCACATGCACGGCGACCACATCTTTGGGCTCATGGGCCTCCTTCTTTCGGCGGGCAACGGCGGCGTCGCCCGCGAGATACAAGTATGTAGGCTATCGCCATTCTCTCGCGGCCATGTCATGGCAAGCATCGTAGGTAGTCGGGCCGCCGGGCCTGCGACGATACCTGCGGCGCAACTTTGTCGAGTCGCAGTCCAACATGAAGTGTGCGCGGTACTATGTGGACGAGCTATGGGCACCGACGAGCACGGAGCTCACGTGCGAGTACGATCCGCTGCCGTTCGAGCGCCAAGGCGCCAACGTTGTCCCGAGCGACGATGGCTCGTGGTGCGTCCCGTGCCCGCGCCCGTCGGCCTTTCATGTACGCGCTGCTGCGCTCCGCCACACGCTCGAGCCATGCTATGGCTTTGTCATTCAAGAGCATGACTACCCTGGACGGTACTGCATTATTGCGTCCGTCGACCGATACCGATTTGAGTGTAATTAGGGTGCAGTTGACGCCAGCGCTCCGCGCAAGACTCCTTCGCGACGACAACGCCGCCTTCTTGCGCGCACACTACGGTATGGAGAACCCGCTCCAAGCCCTGGCGATGGTGCAGGGCAGCGACACGGCGAGTGTGACGCTGGTCGACGGATCGCTGTGCCTGCGGGACATTGCCGGCCCGACGCGGCATGGGCGGCGGCTCTGTATCCTAGGCGACACGTGCGACTCGCGCGCTATCGCATCGCTGGCCGTCGGCGCTGACGTCGTCGTGCACGAGTGCACAAACGCGTTCATTGCCTCGCTGGACAGCCAGTCAACGACGAGCGAAGAGGTCGAAGCCCGTACGTTTGTTCACGGCCACTCGACACCGGCGATGGCCGGCCGGTTCGCGGCCGCGGTGGGCGCCTCGCGCCTCATCCTGACGCACTTTAGTCGACGGTACCGTGACGACGCCTCGGACGAGATGACGCACGCCATGACCGAAATCAAAACGCAGTGCAGCGCCTACTTTACCGGCCTCGTGCACTGCGCCCACGACCTGCAGCACATCCGCTTGCCTATGCGCGAAGAGCGGACGCGGGACCTGGTCGCCGAGGGCGCCGAGGCCGCGCGCGTCGCCTCATCAGCAGCCGACGACGCCAAGGCAGCGGCGATCCGCTTCTTTCGTTCCCATCCCACGAGCAGCGACGGGCACACGTCGCATGCCAAGCGCCTGTTGTCGTGAACCACAAGATTTTCGTTTCAATAAAGTACGCTGTTGACTCGACTGTCGTAAGTCCGCTTGCTGGCCACAACGAAGATCGAAGAGGATGGCGACAGGGTTCGCAGCGCTCTCACCGACGACGCTCGCCGATGTGCTTCCGCGGACGCAGGTCATGCGCTACAACATCCGGCCTCTCTGGGCGTGTCCGCGCATCACCGGCCCTGCGTTCACGGTCCGCTTGTCGCCAGGTACGCGCGGTCCGTCTACTCGCCGCTCATGCACGACGACGACCAGGCGACAACTTGATGCTGCACGCGGCCATGTACGAGGCGCCGCCTGGTAGCGTTGTGGTCGTGCAGTCGGGCGACATGGCGTTTGCCGCGATCGGCGGCAACGTAGCTCGGATCGCCAAGGAGCGCGGGCTCGCGGGCCTTGTCCTCGATGGGCTCGTGCGCGATATCGCTGAGATCCGCGACTTGGCCTTTCCCGTCTTTGCGCGGGGTATCGTCCCCGTGCCGGGTACGAAGGTGCGCGTTGGCGAGCTCAACCAGCCCATCGTCTGCGGCGATGTGCACGTGCAGGCTGGCGATGTCGTCGTCGCCGACGAAGAAGGGATCGTCGTTGTCCCGGCGGCGTCGGTCGCGACAGCCCTCGCGGAGGGCACCAAGCGGCAGGAGAAGGAAGCGCGCGAAGGCTACGAAGCGTGGAAGCGCAGTCACAGCGCGCGGGTCCAAGCGGCCTTGACGCGTGCGTAGCCGCCGCCACGTCAGGGCGAGCGCATGGACTGATGTGGTAGCCTCTCATTGGCTATAATTCAACATATCCGTTTTCGCAGAATCCGTTTCAAGGGTACCCGCTTCCACTCGTGTCCTATGCTGTGCTGCAAGATATGTAATGTGAGAGGTTTTATAATGTGCAGAGGACTGGGGTTGGGAGGCCTCGACCACGCCGTGCTGTAAATATGTATTTATAGAGGATTGAGCCAAGTATTTTTAACTTGCGGTTCTTTTGCAGCAAACGAGGAAACAGGAAGCCCGCATGTTGCCGGGCCATGGACCTCCGCGGCAGGGTCATGGGCCCCGCTATGGACCTCCGTCCAACACGTCGGAAGGGTGGGAGGTCGTCGACCAAGATGGCATGACGATGTCGGCCCGCGCCCATGCACCGAGATCCCCGCGGACGTCGTTGTTGACCATCAACCCGAGCGCGACGCCCTCGACGCGCAACAAGCCCTTCATGCCCCCGCGCGATGGCAGCCGGTATTCGGTGCCTAGCCACGTCGTGGACGATCTCCTCACGGAGCAGCGCATGAAGGCCCACCACACAGCGACGGCGGCGGACCCGCTCTCGCTCGGCATGTCGGACGTGGATCTCTTCGCCGACGACAATGACAGTGCCCATGGCTGGGGCACAGATTCGCCATCGCACTTGCTCGGCCACGACGATGACCTCGAGTTTGATGATGACGACGAACCCACAACTGCTCCGCAAGTTGCGGTGGCGCCCGCGGTCGAGGCCGTGGTCTCGGACTGGCGAGCAGGCAGTGACTGCCTCAGCCCGACGGCGCCCGAGGGTGCGTTTGGTTCCGAGCTGGACTTTGGCGACGACGAACAAGAAGACGACAGCGCGTCGGAGGCTGCGTTTCCGACCAACGAGGCGCCCACCGAGATTGCAGCGGCAGCCTCGAGCACCCATGGCAACCAATGGCAGTGGCATGGCGATGAACACAAAGATACCGCTAGCAGTATCTCGTACGGCGCCGGCTCGCCGTTGCGCTCGATCACGCTCGGGGCGCCCGTGCCGTCGACGAATGTTCTCGACCTCAACGATGACGTCGATGCCCCCGACAACGGGTGGGGCTCGACGGACGACCTCTCGCTCTCGTCGTCGCCGCGGTCCGACCGCATGTCGCTGGATGGCCCGCCGGACGCGTACCTCAATGAACCCGACGTGACGCCTGTCGATATCACCGGTGCGGACGACCACACAGTGTTCGGGACCGAGATTGCCGTGGCTACGGTGGAAGCAGCCGCGGCGCATTCACAGTGGGACGAGCCGCCGGCCATCGACGAGCCGCATCCGTCGTTCGTGCACGACCAGCAAGAGGTCGCCCCACACGATGTGCCACTCGCTACCGCATTTACGGATACCGACACGCCGGCAGCCGCGTGGTCCGCAGATGAGTCGCTGGACATTAGCGAGGACGAGAGTAGTGCTCCGGTGGTCGACGACGCGGCAACACCAGCCGTCGCAGCGGTCGCGGATGCGCCTGAAGCAGGCGTCGAGCCCGTGGCTGCCGAGGACGTTGCTGCGACGACATTCGAGTCGTGGAACGACCACGAAGCGCAAGATGGACCGAACGCACACGCTACCTGGCACAACGACGAGACCGACGCACCGTCGAGCGAGATGCCGGACCTCGCTGTCACCGCCGAGCCGCCCGAAGTCCACGCTCCCTCGTACGCGGAGCCGGTCGTGAAGACGGAAGCGCCCGTCGAGTTTGCCGAATCGAGCCGTGACGTTGGCGGCGAATTCGACCATGAGACACACAAGGACGACTGGGAGCCGGCCGCTGACGCGGCCGCTGCGGACTCGCTCTTTGCGTCGGCATCCGAAGTTGCGCTGGACGGCGAGGGCCATGACGAGCCGAGCATCATGCCCGAGACTCAGCACAAGGACATTAGCGCGGCGTCTTCGCACGAGGTTCCAGCCTCGGTGTTTGTGTCGGAAGCCAGCGACGGTACATTTGCTCAAGAGACCAACCCGGACTACTTTGGTGGCGAGTTCAATAACGAGTCGTACAACGAAGAGTGGAGCCCGTCGGTTGAAGAGGACGTGGTTGTGCCGTTGCCCGATGCACGAGTGCCAGTCACGCAAGAGAGCGAGTCGACGCCAGCGACCGTTCAAGAGCCGGCTGGCGACGCAGTCTTAGCGCAAGACACCAACCCGAGCTTTGGCGGCGAGTTTGGCAATGATGCGTACAACAACGAGTGGGGCTGGAACCCGTCGATGGACGAAAGCAACGACAGTGGCGTGCCTCAGTACGAGCAAGAAGTGGCGTCCGTGCATGTCGAAGAGCTCACGGCCGATGCGCTGTTCGTACCAGAGACAAACCCGGACTTTGGTGGCGAGTTTGGCAACGACTCGTACAACGAAGAGTGGGGCTGGAACCCGTCCGCCGACGATGGCGCTTCGTCCGTAGTCAGCACGGACGTGACCGAACCGACTCTTGTTGAAGCGCCGACCGTCGAGACTGCCACCGTCATACCCGAGACGAACCCCGACTTTGACGGCGAATTTACCAACGAGCCGCACAGTGAAGAGTGGGGCTGGAACCCGTCAGTTGAAGACGATACCAGCGTGGTTGCCGTCCCGCCGCCGACAACGGTGGAGTTGCCCGCTGCTGTTGTGCCGGTGGCAGAACCCGCGGCCGACGCGCTATTCGGCCAAGACACCAACCCGGACTTTGGTGGCGAGTTTGGCAACGACTCGCACAACAACGAGTGGGGCTGGAACCCACCGACCGACGAAAGCAACAGCGATGGCGTGCCTCAGTACGAGCAAGAAGCGGTACCAGTGCCCGTTGAAGAGCCCACGGCCGACGCGCTGTTTGGCCAAGACACCAACCCGGACTTGGGTGGCGAGTTTGGCAACAACTCGCACAACAACGAGTGGGGCTGGAACCAGTCAACTGACGATGGATTCTTGGCGTCGCCAGCTGCGCCTCCCATGGCTGCAGTGGAGACACCCGTCGTGTCGGCTCCCACCGATGCCCCGACTGTCGAAGCTGCCGCCTTTGTCCCCGAGACGAACCCCGTCTTTGGCGGCGAGTTCAGCAACGAGCCATACAGCGAAGAATGGGGCTGGAACCCGTCCATCGACAGCGACCATGGCTTCTCGTCGGCGCCAGCAGCACCTCTTGCCGTGGAGTCGCCGGTCGTCTCGGCGCCCGTCGACGAGCCCTCCGTCGACGAGATGTTTGGCAACGACACGAACCCGGACTTTGGCGGCGAGTTTGGCAACGACTCGTACAACAACGAGTGGGGCTGGAACCCGTCGACTGACGATGGATTCTCGACGACACCGCCCGCCTCGGACACGTGCGTTGCGCCAACAGACGTCGCTACGGCGCCAGAAGATAGCGCGGACGCCGCTTCGTTGTTTGCGTATGCATCGCCAGCGTTCGACCAGCCGCAGCAAGAGCAACTCGACACGACGCCTTTTGACGCGCACTCGGCGTCGTCCCTGTTTGGGCATTCGGCCGTCGACGGCAGCGGGTTTGGCGGCGATGAGCCCGTGTACGATGCTTCACCCCGCGGCGACCAGCATCACTTTGGCGCGTCCCACGACCCGTGGTTCCCGCAACAGAGCGATGCGTCGGCAGACGTTGGCGAGGCCTACTATGGGTCGGCGGCCATTGGGCTGGCGCCGCCGGTCGCCGAAGACACGGCGGCATCGTCGCTGTTTGCCGGCGCAAGCGACGATGCTGCGGCGTCGTTCAGTCACGCGCCCGTCGACAACAGCGCCGACAGCCTCTTTGCAACCTCGCCGGACGCTCAAGACGTGTCGAGTCTGTTTGGCGCCTCGGCCGACAACCACGGCTTTGACGCTGGGTTTGAAGAGCACACGTATGACTACGGCGCTGCCCAGCACGAGCACGCGTCTATTGCGCAAAACCACTTTGAGCAGGCGGCGCCCCACGAGCAATACCATCACGACGCGTACAACTACGAAGGACATGCGTACGGGGAGTCGACGGCCTTTGACGCGCCACCGATGGCTGGTTTTGATGCCGCAGCGCCGGGGTACGACGCGCCAGCCCCACTGTATGAAGCTCCTGCTCCGGTGTACGAGGCACCCGATCCGGTGTACGATGCTCCCGAGCCGGTGTACGATGCTCCCGAGCCGGTGTACGATGCTCCCGAGCCGGTGTACGATGCTCCAGAGCAGGCGTATGACGCTCCGGCTCCGGTGTACGAGGCACCCGCGCCGGTAGAGGAAGCACCCGCGCCGGTGCATGAAGCGCAGGCACCGATGTACGAAGCTTCCGTGCATGCAACATCGTTTGATGCTCCACCAGCGTCGAACGCGAGCCCGGCATACGAGACACCAGTGGTTGCATCGACAATGCCGGTTTCAACGCCAGCGCCTGGCGTGTCGACACCGGCGCCAAAGACTGTCGTGGCCGCGCCTCGCTCGTTGCCGACAGCCTTTGCAGCGGCTCCGCCGTCGGTCACGTCCCCCGTGGTCGAGACGCCTTTTGTCTTTACGGGGCGTCCCGAGTCATACAGCGATATTCCCGACTACCCCGACTACGACGGCAGCGCGGAGGTTGCTGCGCCGACCGCACCACTGCGTCTCGAGCTCGAGGCCGACGACGATGACGACGTACCGATGGCCGACTCGCTCTTTTCGCCGACCAATGGCACAGAGATTACGTTTGCGACCTTTGACGCGGCACCGAGTGGCTTTGGGCCGCCGAGCATGGGCTTTAGCTCTGTGCCGACGGCGTTTGGGACCCCGGCGTCCATTCACGAGCGACCCGCGCCGTTGTCGTACAGCAGTGCACCCATCGATGCGCATGTCGGTAGCTCCGCGCCAATTTGTCATATCGAGAACGCCAGCGTCGTCGCCGCCAAGCCAACTTTGCCGACGCCCTCGCACAATGACGAGCCGAGCCACGATGCGGCCGAATTGTTCGAGTCAGCGCCCGATGCAACCGGTTTCGGTGCTGCGGCATCCGCGTTCGACGCCCCGTCTGCGTTTGACGCCCCGTCTGCGTTTGACGCCCCATCTGCATTCGACGCCCCGTCTGCGTTTGATGCACCCTCTGGCTTTGACGAGGCGCCTCAGTTTGGCGAGTCGGCGATGGCGGATCCGTTTGCTGCGTCGTACCAGCAGTCGACGTATTCTCCGCGCGGAGTGCAGACTGCGGCTACCTACGGCGCTCAAGGCGCGCCCTTTCACCAACACCAGGCCGCGTACCAGCAGCCCGCAGCCGCGTACCAGCAGCCCGCAGCCGCATACCAGCAACCTGCAGCCGCGTATCCGCAGCCAACACCAGTGCCCTACCAGCAGCCGGCGGCGACGTATCCGCAGCAAGCGGCGCCAGTGCCGTTCCAGCAGCCATTGCCGACGCCGTACCAACAGCCCGCGCCGGTTGGCTACACGGCGCCGCAAGCGTCGTACCAGCAGCAATCGTACGCGACAAGCGCCAACGCGTACGGTCAACCCGCTGGCTATGCACAGCCGTCGTACACGCCCGAGGCAGCACCCGCGTACGCGCCAGCGCCGGCGGCGTACGGGCACCAGCCTGGCCATGCACCTTTGGCCAGCAAGCCCAAGAAGCCGTCGTTCTTTGTGCCCAAAGCGCAAGCCGCGCCAACGACATCGTCGTCGTACGAGCCCGCACCGCCGCAAATGAGTCGTGCGCTCAAGAAGCAGTACCAAGCACCGTCAACAACGACGCCGACGACGGCGCCTGTGCCCTCCAAGGCGCCGGTGCGGACGAGTCCGTCGTACAAGGATCCGCGGGTGCTGCCGCCGTCGGCGCTGGTGACGTTTGGCTTTGGCGGCACGATCGCGGCCATGTTTCCCAAGCGCAAGCTCAAGCTCAACCATTTTGCGCCGCGCAACAGTCCTCGGCCAACGTGCGTTGTTGATACATAGTTGATACATTTGTCTCATTGGGAGATGTAGGGCGCACCAAGCGTCATTCGATGAGCCCGTGGACGACGGCGAGTTGCGCAAGGGCCCGATCGTGCTGTACACGATGGACCAGCTGCACCCCAAGGACGCGTACTGGCAGCGCATCCAAGCCTTCCCAGGCCCGCTCGCGCAGCCATCGACGACTGACGACGCCGTCTTGTACGTCTGCATGCATACATCACAGTGGACTCACTTGGTTGCTGTAGAAAGTACTTGCAGAGCCAAGGGGCGTTGGCCGTCAGCGACGACGCCAAGCTTCTGTGGGAACTCGTCGAGGTGTTTGTCAAGACGCACGGTCGCATTGCGACCCGCGACGCCCAAGCCCCCGAGATCCTCGTCTTGCAGCTGCTTCAAAACACCCTCGCCCGGCGGCCGACATTGTCGCACGACGTCCACACGCCATCGATCGTCGCCGTACGCTGACTCCCAAAGTGTTACAGGTATCACGTTTCTTCGACTAGTCGCCCGACGCGTCGCACCGAATGCGTCAGCTGCTGCTCGCCGGCGACCGCCAAGGTGCGATCGAGGTTGCGACGGCCGCCAACATGTGGCCGCAAGCGATGCTGCTTGCGTCGTTTGTCGATCCCGAGGCGTACAAGGTATATATATCGCATTGCGATCCATTGAACATACAAGTTTGTAGGCGGTCGTCCAAGCTTTTGTCGCGAGTCAATATACGCCGGCCGACCCGCTCCGGTCGCTCCTCTTGCTCTTTGGCGACTTGGGCGAGAAGAGCGTGCAAGAACCCGTGCCGTTGAACGCGGCGGCGTCGACGTCGGCCGCGTCACCGCTGCTCGCTAATTGGCTCTCGCACGTGGTGATGTGGATCGCCAACCCGACTAAGGACACGAACGCGGCGCTCTTGAGCCTCGGCGACCGCCTTGCGACCGAAGCGCAGAACGTGTACGCCGCGCACGTGTGCTATCTCTTGGCCGGCGCGCCGCTCGAAGCTCCGTCGCCGAGTGCCCGGCTCGTGCTCCTCGGTGGCGCGCACTCGGAGGCGCGGTCGTTTGTGCGGCCCGAGACGATCCACTTGACAGAAGTCGTCGAGCACGTGACCAAGCCGTCGCTGCTCATGCCGCTGCAGGGCTATAAGTACATTTATGCGTCGCTGCTCGCGGACCTCGGGCGCTGCGACGACGCGTACAAGTACGTGGACGCGATGCGCAAGCAGTTGGAAGCGATCGGCGCCAAGCAAAAGCTGTCGCCGTACCTCGACAATGTCAAGCTCCAGCTTGACGTCCTCGAAGACCGACTCAAGTTGCATCTGGGCCAAGACCGCGTCGAAGCCGCGGCCGTGAAGGAGTCCAAGGGCCTCTTTGCGTCGCTCCGCGCCAAGATCGACAAGAAGCTCGACGAAATGGTCAACGACGCACCGCCGCCGCCAGCGCCCACGCAGCAACATCCGTCGTCCGGCCCCCACTCGGGCCAGCAGAGCTTCCCACAGCACCTCTTCCCGCCCGCGCCAGGCTCCAACCACAGCAACTTTGGCGGGCCCGGGTCCAACCACAGCGGACCCATGCACGGTGTGGCACCGGGCTCCAACTCGATGCGCCACCAGTCGTCGTTTGGTCCGAGTTCCAACAGCAGCCAACACCAGCAGCAACAGCAGCAGCAGCAGCAGCAGCAGCACCACCAGCAGCAACACTTTGGCCCTGGGTCGTCGTCGTCGTCGGGGGTGCTGCCACCGCGGGCACCGAGCGTCGGACCCGTCGACGCGCCTGCCGTGGCCGCGACGCCGCACCCACCGCTGCATCGGAGCCACAGCTTTACGCAAGAGTCCAACTCGTCCAAGCTTCCGGCCGAGTCGCCGCAGCTCAAGAAGGCAGCGACGGTGGACGAGCCCAAGAAGCCCGAGCCGTCGCCGGCCAAAGCCAAGGCCAAGACACCGCCGCCGAGCAGCACCGGGTCCAAGAGCGGGCGCAGCATGTGGAGCTTTGTGCCTTCGTTGGGCATCAAGGAGTTTTTGATGAACAAGCTCGAGCCCGTCGGTGATGCAAGCGTCGTCCAGCTGCCCGACAACGAGCCGCAGCCGTACTTTGACAAGGAGAAGAACCGGTGGGTGTTTCCGTCGGCCGGTGGTGTCGACGACGCCGAGGACGAAGCACCGTCGGCGCCGCCCACGAGCTTCCCGGCCCCCGCTGCCATGTCGGCGCCCGCGTCCCAAGCCACGAACGACCCGCTCGCCGCCTTGATGGCACCGCCGAGCCGCGGGCCGTCGGCGCCGGCGTCGCACGACGGCAACCCGCTGAACGCGATGATGGCACCGCCCGCGCGCACGGGCCTCTACGGGTCGCAGCGCGGGTCGTCGCGTGCTGTGACGCGCAAGCCATCGGCACGGCCGCAGTACGCGGTCTTCAAGCCCGCGCCGTCGTCGACCGACGCGCCCGAGCCCGAGTCGTAATACGCTTACTGTAGGAAGAATAGACATTTGCTTGTACATCATCTTGCCTATTCCTTGGTCGTCTTGCCGAGGTCGTCGACCTTGAAGAACTTGTCGAGCTGCGCCTGCGTGTAGCGTTGCAGCTAGCATCTCCATGAGAGGCCATGGACGAGACGGCTGGCACGTACCGCGGAGAAGCAGTGGTCTTGCTGCGGCAGGCCCAACGGCGTCTTGTACTCGGTGAAGAGCACGAGCTTGACGGCGATCGCAGAGCAGAGGCCGATCGAGAAGACCTTGACGGGCTTGAAGAGGCGCTTGTCGATCATCCTTCGAGAGCCGACCAAAAGTTAAATGTCCGGATACGAATGGCTATCCGGCGCCGCGGTTGCATTCGGCATGTGCCGAATTGAATCGTGCTCTTGACATGCAAATCATCCTCGTCCAACACAACTGACGCACGCGCCGATCGACCTTGAGCGCATCTAGAAGAGTAGTAGCTTCTCGTCGTTGCTGGCAGTTGCGTTTGGATTCGTCTGCTTGGGTGGTCGAGCACCGAAGCCACTTTGTCGGCAACGTACGCGGTCCAGAAGAGAAGCTTTCTCTGAGGTCAGCCATAGCCAGCGTCGTCTTCAAAGAACGAGTGGCATTGGCGCCATATTGAGCTGGCGCCAAGCGGCTCACCTGCACGTTTCTTCCTGTGGCAGCGAGCTGCGTGGGATGATGCTGGACACTGGTGGACTCGAGTCCAAGTGGTCAGTCCAAGTGAAGCGAGTTTCCGCATGCAGCGCTCGATTCCTTGAGGCCGCATGGGCCACGCAGCCATACGTGCATGCATTACAAAGCTATCGTACCCGCAAACTGTACCCGCACCGACACGTCGCTTGGGCGTCGGCGGCCAAGTGGCGTGCCGAAAATACGCTACATTCGGCACGAACGTGGGATATCCGGATATCTATCCGGTCGAGTGTTGGCCCTGCGCCATCTTATATTGCGCAAGTTGCCAAACAAGATGGATCGGCGGACGAGCACGTCGTCCCGGCGGCCGCCGCAGCGCCGCAGCACATCGTCGGACGGCGACCACGAGGAAGTGCGACCGGCCATCGACCATGAAGGTATCCTCGAGGCCATGGGCAGCGTCGTCTTTGAGCTCGACGTCGACGGCGTCGTGACCTACATGAACCACCGCGCCGAGCGCGTCCTCGACTGCTACGCATCCGACAAGGTCGGTATGAGATTCGTCGATGCGTTCGTGCCGGCGACGCTCAGCGACGTGCCATTAAACCGCGCCAACATTGAGAAGCAGCTCCACGAGGTGCTCTCGCTGGCCGAGACGGTCGTCTTCCAGTGCGGGCTCAAGACCTGCGGGTCGCCGTCGAACCTCGTCGACATGCTCCTGAGCGCGGCGCCGCGCCTGGACAGCCAGCGCAACGTGCTTGGGTGCGTCCTCGTCGGTACGGACGTGACGAATCACTCGAGCGAGAAGATCTCGTCCGAGCACGTCTACTCGCGCATCTTGGAGCGGGCGAACGCGCCGATCTTTGGCGTCGACGTGCAAGGCCGCGTCAACATTTGGAACAAAAAGGCCGCTGAGCTCACGCAGTTTACGGCCGATGAAGTGCTCGGGAAGGACCTCGTCCACGAGTTCATTGCGCCCGACTACCGCGACGCGGTCGGCGCAGTGCTCTCGCAGGCGCTCGA